CATGCGTCAGGGCTTCCTCACATCATAACTCATGCAGAGGACATACAGATGCTTTCTTTGATTAGATGGCAATAGAGCCATTCCTGGCTTTGCAGCTGACATTATTGTACATTTTGTAAGGAAGGGTTTTCCTTTGATTCCTCTCCCATGCGGCATATGCTGCTTAGTTATGATGGGTATGAACCACAGGAGACGAGAAGGAAGTGAGCAACGTTCCTGAAATTGCTCAGTGTTTTTTATGAAGACACAGCCTGAGGTTGGTAAGTAAAGATGGGAAGCACTAACCTTACCCAATGACCAAACTTGGAAGCTCTGGCTGTTGTGACTCAAACTGCAGACTCTGCCTTCTGTCTAAGAAAATGTTGCTTATAAGGTTGATAGACTTTACCAGCTTTTCTGTACCTGCCTCATGGCTGTGAAAGTATCGGAGAGATGGCAGCTATTTCATACTTGCCTCTTCTGTTTCATCTCTAGGAGAGTCTTTTAGAACTCGTTCAACAGTGAGTTAAGCCTTAGAAGCGTTCAACAGACTGTAGAGAAAATCCTCGTCCCTGTGATGTAACCAATCTGTGGTGCAACCAGCGTCCCTCTGCCTTTGCTGTGCAGCAGCAAAGCGTGCTTTGTAAGAGGTGAAAATTGTCTTTATCCCACAATATTGCAGCCAGTATTCATGGGCCTTTGCTGTTTTTTGGGGTCTTGAGAGCATCTGTATGTCCTCTGCATGAGTTACGATCTGATGAAGCCCTGATGCATCTGTTAGGAGAAAAAAAAAGAAAAAGGGGGTGTGTGTGATATTGAAAGGAGGATAGCGGGAGAGGTCACAACAAATGTTGAAAGGAGGGTAGTGGGAAAGGTCAAAGGCAAAAACATTTGAGAAATCTGTGTTTAAATTCCTAAAGTACAGCTGTATTCTGTCTGCAGGAATTGATTTCACGAAGGCATCTGTACATGGCAGTAACTAAAACTGTGTTTTGAGAGGATCGCATTAACACAAGGTATAAGCTGATGCCTTCATTGAGTCAGTCATCTTTAAGAGTGTATGCAGAGAATAAGTTCCCCATAGAAATCCTGTTGGTAAGAAGGGAACTTAAAGAGACTTTGCAGAGTTGAATTTGCCTCTGAGGACCTGAGCCTGTAATGGCTTGACACTGGTGGAAGCCCCATCTTCCTCCTTCCTCCCGTAGCCGCTTCTGGTGTCTGTGGAGCAGTGGGCTCAGATGGCTTGACTTTTTGGCTTGGTTTGTGGGTTTTGGGTTTTTTTGGTTGTGTTCTGTCTCTGTCCCACTGGCCTTTTAGAGGCAATTATTAACTTGGCTGTGTCATAATATGAAAGTTTACTGTAAGTTTGCTTGACATTTGATAAGACAAAGAAACAAAAGATTGATAAACAGGATTAGATCCCAGGAACTTGTAGTTTTGCTTTTAGGCGTTAGTTTTGCTTGAATGTTCTCTTAGCTGACAGGAATGCTGAAGCCATTTTGAAGGTATGCTGTTGCTTTGTTTTTCTGTATCTGAGTCTGGTAATTGATTGTTTTTATTTAAAAAAAAGAAAAAAAAAGGAAGAAAATAATTGCTTTTTTCCCCTTTAGCATTAAGAGTGATTTATGTGAGGAAAAAGAGGATTGCTAATACCACAGCATTACATTTTACTTGGAAGGGAGATCACTGAATGTGACTTCTCATTTACAGTACTGGTAAGCACTGCAGTTTAAAGTCTCACATCTCCCAATAGTTGTCACAGTGTTTATTATAATTGCAGTTTGATGAACATGTTAAGCAGGCATAGGGCAGCACTGTTGCAGTGCATCCGTTGCATAGTGAAGAAGCTGCTTTTGTCTGTTCTGCCTGTTTTTTTTATGCCTAGCACATTTACCTCTCTAGCAGTGCACTGTGGAAATGACTGGGAAGGAAACGAAAAACTGCATTTTCCTCACTCCCTCCAGCTTCAGGTATTTAAGGGGTGCAAGGACAAACAGAGGGGTTGTGCTATTTATTTTGGTGACCATACCTCTTTGTATCAGCTTAACTTATTTGTAGCTCGCTTAAACTGCAGGTTCAAGTTAGGTATAGTAAGGATTGATTTTAAAGTCGTTATTAGTTTGGGGTTTTTTTTTTAATTTTTCTTTTTATATGCAAAAATTTGTAAAAATAAAACTAGTGACTTCCTTGAAGAAAGCAGAAACTGTTTAGGGGAATTTCTTAAATGTAAAAGCAGTGGACAGCTTCATATTCTGTTCTCTATGTGTTCAGATGGTAAGTTTTCAATGGACATTGCATAATCCTAACCACCGGCCTTTTGGGGCAATAGAGCAATTATTAACTTGGCTCTATTGCCATTTGTGCGTCTTGCCATTTGTATTTGCTATACATGTGTCAGATGTTTTTCCAGTGAATATTATTATGGTCAATTTTGTTATTTTGTTGTGACAGCCTCTTCCAATGTTGTGTGAGGACTGTTTACATGGAGTCAAAAAACAACTGTGCAAATCCATTGAAGACTAAGTCTCCTGGGGACTATTAAATTTCCTGCCTCTCACTAGGAAATCCTTGAACCACAGTTTTCTGGAGGATGAGAGAGCATTATTCAGAAATATCACTAAAATAGTGTCCTGACCAGGGCATATACTGTGGTCTTTGGCAGAGAGAGAACACTGTTAAATGAATTCTTGTTTGTTTGTTTGTTTGTTTGATCAGCAATAGCTGCTCCAATTTCTAAATGAAAATAAAAACCTTTTCAAGAATGGAAGCATTAATAAAAAAGTAGCTTTGTGAATATTTATCTGTTCTCGTTTGTTGTTGTTGTCTTCAGATCTGCCAGTTAATCATGTCAAAATAAGAAAACGAAAAAAAGTCTCATGGTTTCTGTGTTTGTACTGTACTAACTTCAATAGGCAAGTCTTCTAATGAGAACTGTTCTAGGTGAAATACATAAATCACTGTTCCCTTGGGTGGAAATGCTCCTTTTCTGCATTGGATTTTGAATGTTGCTGAGAAATAATTTAACTGACATGATCTCATTTTTGTAATACGAAATCAACTGTACATGAATGTTCCGTAATCCATTTTTTTTCTTCCCTGTCAAACATATTCTTGCAGTGGATGTTTAGCAAATATCTGGGTATGTGCTGCAGATTCACTGTTGCTATACAGTGGCAACTCATTATTTGGAGAACACTATTCACCAAAAGGCTTTAAATTAGGTTCTCTCAAATTGAAGAAGTTATTTACAATTTTGTCCAAGCACGTGCTCTGCTAGCTCATTAAATTCTGGAGCTTTTCTCTCTCTTTTTTTTTTTTTTTTTTTTTTTATCTGATAATGGAATAGGTGCTTCATAATGATACTTTATCAAGTCTTGTTTGATAGTATAAGAGTAGATTTTTTTTTCCTCCCCTCCTTCTGCACTGCCCTTAGTGTCTGCAGTGTTGCTCCTCTCAAATGCTTTCACTCTTATCTCCAGCTGCAGTTGTGCAGGTTTCTTCTCCCCTGCTTCTTTAACTGTGTTATCCCAGAGGTGCTACCACCGTCACTGATGGGCCGGTGCTGGGTTCATCTTGGATCCAGCTGACTTTGGCTTTGTTGGATATGGGGGAAGCTTCTGGCAGCTTCTCACAGAAGCCACTCCTGCAGCCCTCCCTGAAAAAGAACCCTTGCCACACAAACCCAAATGTGAGAGAGAAAAAGATTCCTCACTTGGAAGTATAAAGCAGATTGAGTTACTGGTTTTGTTTAGTTACTTCTGTAAAGAGATCTGATTTTGGTTTCATATGTTAGAAAGTATACTTTCTTGAACCTTAGGACTTAATTTTAGTTATTTTTGAGGATGATTGGAGATTTAAGAGATTGAGAATAGTTAGATTTTATTTTTCTATTTGTTTGAATTGCGCAGGGCTATTACTGATATAAAAGGTCTTTAATTTTGTTGCTGTTATTGTTAAGGCGGTTTTCTCAAATAATCAAAGTTTTAAGCTTACATCATAATAAAATTTCATTTCTCTAGCTTTTTTACCATCACTGTACCAATTTTGCACTCTTCTCTCCTCCCTCCCCCCCCCTCCCCGATTGGGAAAATGAGCTATTTTTTTAGTATTAAACAAAGCAAACTCTCAAGCCAGTTTGAAGAGAAAGTGTGAAAGTGTGCTTGCTTAGTTAGAAAATGTAACTATAGAAATATTTAACATATATCTATTATGAGAAGTTTACATAGGTTGTAAACGGAAGTTTTTATAGACAGAAAACAGTTAATTGTCAGACTTCATAGTTGTTTTATTAAGTTGCAGTGCTGTTTCTGTAGTCATTGTAAATGTAATCTTGAGTCATTTGGAAGCATTTTGTTTTGCCTTTATAGAGTACAAGAATATGTTTATATTGGAAGTTAGGCAGGTGGCATTCTTAGTTCAGCTGATGACCTATGCTAAGTAGATAATGAAGGAATGCAAATATATTGAGGAAATTCAGTTTTAATTAAGATTGAAATTGTGAATCTATAATTTAGCCTCTTTTAATCAATACAAAATGTCTAGATCAATTTGATTGTAGAATTGAACTGTCTGAAATGGGTCATTTTCTCTTTTGGGGAAAAACTATTCAGAAAACACAAAAATGTTAATACTCTCCATCTTTGCCTCTTTCAGATAACCCCATGGTTTACTCTGCCTTCAGCTGAAGATATCGCTAATTTTGCTCTCAGTTAGCTGTTCTTCATAGGAGAGGTAACTGATTTAAACTCAAAATATTTGCATTAATTCCTCAAGTCTAGTAAATGTAATTGTAATGACAGAGTTAGTGCTTGCTTCTTCTGCTGAGAGATTTCTGAAAGAAAATAATATAATCACTGTACATTGATACTGCTTGTGAGTAGGTGTGATGCTATCTTACTCGCTGTAGTCTGATGAAAAATTAGCATGGGGTGTTTAGAGAATATGAATGGAAAATATCTGTCTGTATTTGCTTTTTTAAAGTGGGTTTTTTTTTTCTCCTTTTTAAATGTTCTCAGATTTTCATGGATCTTAATAGTGCTAGCACTATTGTTTTGCAAGTCTTGACCCAAGCTACTAGTCAAGATACAGCAGTGTTGAAGCCAGCTGAGGAACAACTGAAGCAGTGGGAGACACAGCCAGGTTTTTATTCAGTTCTATTGGTAAGATACAGTGGAAAAGTGCTATTAAGTAAACTCTTGAGTAATTTTGTACTTGGCTGTCTATAATATTATTGAACCATGACTTCTGGCTGAGAGAAGCCTTGAGTCGTTACGATCCATCAACCAGTACCCTTATGCTGTGCGGTGGTAGTCATTATGATCACTGAGTCTCAAAACAGGCTCTCTTGAGGCATTTGGGAGAAGGAGGAAATGCAGCTTTTAGTGGCATGAGCGGGTGGGCTTTAATGCTAAACCTGTTGTTGGCCTATTGCAGATTGTAGCTAGTAAAAGGCCAAGAGGACCCTCCTTAAAGTAATTACCTTTACTGCCCCATGGGGCAGGGACGCTTTAATATACCAAGGCATTAGCCACCTTTTCTTTATTGTGGAGGATGGTGCATTATGACTGTTTTCGTAGGAATTCCCCCATGCTTTTCATCACTACTGAAGTGTGATACCCAGCTGGGATTGCTTTCTTTCTTGTCAGTGGAGAGAGACTCCTGGGGGAGATTAGTTGACTAGGCTGCTAGTAAATTTCTTGAAATGGGAAGAGTGAGTACTTCTAAAGGTGCTTTGACCCTTGATGAAACAGACTCATTGATATGGTGCATGGTATTGAAGAGAAACAACTGTTTCAGAAAAGACACTTAGAAGTTAACAGTGTTGTAATTCTCCCAGTTCTTACGTGTATGGTTGTAATAACCTTAAAAGCATAGATAAACTGCTTTTCCTACAAACATCTGTCAGTGCATATGATGAGTGATACAGAGTTGTGGGGGGACGTGTTCTGTTCTCTGTAGACCCTCCGTTTCATTTGTTTGGGAAGTTGAAGGCAAGTCACCGGATCACTGAAGGGGTACAAGAAAATCTTGACTTTAGAGCTGTCAGAGTGTGTTTTACCTACTGCCTTTGCCATAGTGTTTCTGTGGTGATAAGCAATCTTGATAGAAAACAGCAGAAACTGCCACTGACTGTGCATTCTTTGTTTTCTGGATGTTTGCTGTGAGAGCTTGCAGCTCAGGTTGTAAACAAGTTGAGTGCTCACAGGTATAACTGAAGCTGATGTTAGTTTTAAATATAGGGGCTAAAAATGCAGGATTTGAAAAGACGAAATGTTAATTCTATTGATGTGGTTAAGTAGCCCCATTTGGGGACATACCACCTTTCTTCAAGTGTGAAGTATAAACAGTAATCTTCCAAACTAAATAGAAGTAGAGAATCTCTACTTCTTTGTTTAATTTAATTATGACAGGGGGACTGCCTGGGATAGTTAGCACCTTCTTGGGGGAGCAAAAGAAGTTGGGGGAAAACAGGTGATTGTAAATAGAGGACCGGTAAGACAGTTAATCTCTGTGGGAATTGGGAAGTTGTATAATTTACTGTGAGATACATTTGCCTCCGGGATAATCAGGATAGAGAAAATTATAAGGAACCGTGAAACATGCATCTTTGAACCTACATTTTTTAGTATTTGGTGGAGTTACTAACATTAGCTTCTGTGTTCTTTTGAAGTTGTTCCATACTTCACTTTTGAAGAACAGAGCTTAAAAGTCAGACAGTGTCTGGTTTTGAAAAGAACACCAGTTCTTTTCAGAATACCCATTGTATCAATTTGTGAAGTTTAGCTTCATTCCTATTATTTCTATGACAGCGTTAATGTGTTATATGAAATACTTCATGGTTTAGGAAGCTCATACATAGATACAGAGTGTATAAAGAGGTTTCGTTTGTTCCTGTGTAGGCATCTTGTCCTTTTTTTTCGCATTTCTTATCCAGGCCCAGTCTAGTTTTAAGGTATTTTGATCTGGGGATGCTTTCCCTATCATAAATATTTTAACAAAGGGGGGAATGGTAATTTGAAGACTCAGTTTCAGAACAAGGTAAGTTTTCTTTTTCCATGTTTCATTTGTTTTGCAGTGCTTTCTTTTCATGGATGTGAGGCTAAAGTGGTTTGTGAAGTTTCCTCTTTATATTGTAAAATGATTAAGTGCATTTGGAAAAGGTCAAATCTGTCAGACTATCCCTTTTCCTAAACGAGCATTGGGAAAGGAAGATGTATTACAGATCCTTCTCATGTTGTGTGGTGGTTATTAGCGGACCACAACCTCTGATGTTTTTCTAAAGGTCCCAATTTATGGAGAAAGCTGTTACTATTACAGAAATAGAGTTTGAGAGAAGGTGAAGTTTTGAATTAATTGTGAAAATGCTTGAGGGGCTCCCAGGTATCTATAGTGCTGAGTTACTTGGTTTATTTGTAGTTCTTCAGACTTGGCACCCAAAAGCAGGAGATGCTATTGACCTGTATGTCTGCATTTTTTGTGTCCCTTTCTAGTGGGCTTCTGAAAGCAATTGATAAAAGTGGTGCACTTTTTCTACAGTGCACTGTATAGTAAGACCATTGATCTCATGTGTACTGGCTCCCTAAAGGAGACAGTAGTCTCTCACCCCCTCAAGAAGGATCTATCTGATGCAGTGGGAAACAGGAGGAGGGCTGCTCTTCAAACTAGTGTCACCTGTATGAAGATTCAACAGTTTACTTTCATTTTAGCTTTCCCTGGCTGCTAATTTTACAATGTTACTATATAAAATAATCCCTCTGTGTTTGTCTGTATATACATATAGGTACATAAAAGTATATATAGATAGATACATATACATGCATGTGTATAGGTATCTAGCTTTTTAGCAGTAGAAACTGATGTCCTTGAATAAGTATTGGCAAGGTTGAGTTGCGGTCCTACCAGGTCACTGGTTTGCAATGAACATGGATAGTCAGAACAGTTCTTGGCACGCTTCAAGATAATGAAGAATCCTCCTGAAAGCTGGATTCTGACTAAAATAAGTTATTCTGTATTGTGCAGTGCCACAAACTTGAGACCTATGACATTAAAGAGTGTAACAACTGGCCGGTGCTGGTGATTATTACCTTTTTATTCTCTGCTTAGCTAGACGAGATTAGAAATGCATTTGCCCTGTATGCTGGAGTTTTTAAATAAATCAGGTATTAAGGCCAGTAAACATTTTTTTTTTTTTAATCAATCTTTAAAAGATAGTGTTTAGCACCGTTTCACTTGTCTGTCAAATGCTGACTGATGTATTTTGTTTGTATACACCTGTACATATAGGTGCGTGACCTGTACATACAGAGGTGTGCGTACTCACGCGTATGCCAGTGCATGCATTGATGTAGTTTCTATCCTGTCTGTGGTGTGTTCAGCAGTTTTTAACTTAATTTTTTTTTTTTTTAAACAGAATATCTTTACAAATCATTCCCTGGATGTGAATGTAAGATGGTTAGCTGTGCTGTACTTTAAAAATGGAATTGATCGCTATTGGAGACGGGTTGCACCACAGTAAGTTCTGATTTTCTTCCACGTAACAAACCCAAATTTAGAAGGTTACATTTGCCAGACTGGAAAACACCAAATACCTTGGGTGACAGAAGTTACTTAATTCATGGTGAAACTGATGAAAGGTTTCAACACTAGGACTCTCCAATGAACTGTTTTGTCTTCGTATTACTTCTTACAACTCTGTAAGAAGTGCTATCGTGCTATTTTGAAACCTGAGTTAGAAGGTTATTTTTTTTTAAGTGATGTCGTAAGTGCTACAGCGTTAATACCTGGACTTTCTGATAGTGGCATATGTGAAAGGAAGTCTCTTAGATTATTAGGGAGCTATTTAATTTAAGATGATTCATAATTCATTTCAAATGTATACATGAGGCAGTAGCTGTTATGACAGCAAGTTCTGGTCTTCATTTTATTATTTTTTTTTTGGTTCTGTTATGTGGGTTCTGATAATGCATGAAAAAAGTTCTTCAAAGATGCTTAAAATCTAACCAGTATTCTTGAGCACCACATCATTTACTTAAGTTAGGAATGGTGCTATTATAACTTGTAATAGCTACAGAATTATACGCTTCTCAGTGATCTGTATGAAGTTTTTTATTTTTCCTTTAAAAAGTAGGTGTCATTTCAAAGAGTTTGAATTTTCCTTCTCTGTTTTCAGGAGCTAGGAAGGACATAGAAATGTTCAGTCTGTCTCTTAAAGGCTACTAATATAAATAGGTGAGACATCGGTGTCAGGTTGAGTATGGTGTAAATTGGAATTCCAAGTCCAGTTTTTGTGGATCATGAATCTAAGCTAGTTCACAAAGTATGGCGTTGTTTTCACTGTGTTCTTTGTTCAAAGAATTTAACGTGTTTTGCCTTACATCGTAAGCTTTTCCAAATATCTATCAAAAGGGGGGAAAGTGATGAAATTCTGCATCTGCAGGACATTTTAAATACTGTAGTACTCCATTATTATGTAAAGCACTAGACTTTTTGTATGTACAGATTAGTATATAATTGTGAAACATCTGCGAGTGTTTAGATTCTTTTTTATGCAAGAGGAAAATACTATCTTTTGCATGGAATATGGCATCTTTGGCATTTCTGGTAAAGTGATGAGGTAATGCTGCTTACATTACTGGTACTTAACAAGCGTTATTCAAAGCAATTAAAATATATTGTTCCAATTTGCTAATATTTTTAGATAGCTATTAGTAGCCCTTCTGCTGAAAAAAACATGGTTCATTTCCTGCAGAAGTAATGACTATAATATTACTGTTTGAACAGAGGTAAAAATTGAGTAACAGTCTTTAAATCTACTTTTCCTGTTGCAAATGTAATACGATTTTAAAAAAAAATAAATCATTGGCTATCATTAAAGATTCCGTGAGGTAAATATATATGAAATTTCTCAAGTTTTTCTCCACTTGTCATTTTTCTGCTGCAAATTTCATGTAATGAAAGTATGAAATAAATTTAAGAAATTATTGGCTGCTGTTAAAGATTCCATGGCGTAAATATGTATTAAATTTTCACTTTGTCTAATTGTTTTGTCATTTCTAATTTTCTATATTTCTCATACATGACATCTTGTCAGTATTTTGCATGCTCCCAGGTCACTTTTCTCATAGCAGAATGTGTGAAGGGCAGTTTGAAAAATGTCACTTTTAAGCTGTGATTTCTTAATCAATTCTGTGAACCAGTTACGTTTTGGATTAGAATTTTTGAAGGTTTCATTGAACAGGCTACATTTTTGTTGTTCTTGCAAAATTCTTGCCTTTCATCTTGCCTCTCACATCAGCAGCTAACCTGTGTCCATCCATTTAGAACCTCAGAGCTTGTTCTGATCTATCCAGCCTGTTTCACAGAGCACATCTTGGGCTGGGAGGTGACTCCTCTTGAAGGAAAGGACTGATTTCTATATCCGTGTCTTTCTTTGTGGGATGCTAACTTAGGCCTATCTGCTTTACTGAGCTGTTGATTTTCACAGAATCTAAGGAAAAAAATCGTACCATTGACGTTTCTACTCTTTGGCAAATGTAGCTGAACTGTGACAGGTAGTTTAAAGAATTGTGAGAATTGGGGGAGTGTACTTGCAGGCAGTTAATATGTTCATATAACCTATATGCTCAAATATGTCTTGAATATTCAAGAACTTTCCCAGTAAGTTGGATATCTCTTCAGTACTAGTGTGCTGAAGTTATTTTCACTTGAATCAAGCAGGACTGGCTTTACCCTTCTTCTACTGAGCATTTGTGGTTTCTCAGCTGCTGCTACTAAAAAGCAGGAAAACTGATCACAAATTCTTGGAAAGTACATAGTTGAGTGTTTCATTATGCTAAAATACTTAGAACACCGAATACAAATTTTTTTTCCTTTTTTAAAGAACAGGTGATCCTTCTGAAATATTTTGTGCTTTGCACATGTTCGCTTATGCTGTCTGTCCTGTTCACCCTATTGATTATCTACCTGCCTTGGAATTAAAGCAGTGTTTTTCGCTGAGAGTGGTTTCAGAGATGAGCCTATGAACTTTCTCCCTCCTGCTTTCTCAGGCAGCTTTCCAGATGGCAGTGGAGAAGAGCCTAGGGTTGTCATAACCTCTCTTCAGGCACGGTTTGGCCTATTTTTCGGAACTTGTTGCTAGCCTCCTCAAAATATGGTCTCACTTTATGATTTTGTATGTGGTTTTATTTTCTTCAGAAATGGCTTTTCTTGAATTTGAGTGTTAAGTGCGCCTCTTCTTGAACACGTTTTTGACTTTCACAGACAGAGATCAAAACTGTTTTCTGTGGACTTTGTTCTCCAATTTGATTACTGCATTGGAAACTAGTAGTACTTCTCAAATCCATGTTTTTGTTTGAATGATAACTATAACTCTTCAGCTTTGGATTTCTGGTTTATGAAATACATTTTAAATACCTGAATGCAAGTTTTCCCATGCTGCAGAAAAAGATCATAGAATCATAGAATGGTCTGGGTCAGAAGGGGCCTTAAAAACCATCTAGTTCCACCCCACCCAGCCATGGACAGGGACACCTTCCACAGGACCTTGTTGCTCGAAGCCCTATCCTACCTGGCAAGATCAGAAAATTTGAAAATTTAAATGGTGAGGCTGCAACATGATACATAGAAGTTCATCTCTAGAAGAACTTGTTTTATTTCTGGCTGGATGATATTCAGTGCTGAGGGGAAATATATTCATAGAATCATAGATTCTTGGAATACCAGGTTGGAAGGGACCTCAAGTCAAGGTCAAGGTCTGACCTTTCTTGGCAAATCATGACCCAAAGAAGATGTCCCAGCACCCTATCCAGCTGTATCTTAAAAATGTCCAACCAGGGAATCCACCACTTCCCTGGGAGATTATTCCTATTATTGCATTGTGAAAAATACTCCTGTGGTGTCCAACTGGAATTTCCCCAGGAGCAACTTATGCCCATAACCCTTATCTTTTCCATGTGACACCTTGTATAAAGGGAGTCTCCATCTGCTTTGTGGCCACCCGTTCAACACTGGGCTTGTTGAATGATACGCATTCCTCTTAACTTCTGGCCTGCTTATAACTTTTATGGAGCTGTGGGCCGCCTTTGCGGTGTGTTAAAGAAGGATGTCGCTGCTGCTGCTGCCTGCGGCCGTGCCTGTGACTCCAGCGCGGCGGGAGGATGGTGTATCCGCCGGTGTCCAGCAGATGTCGCTGTGGTACCGGGTAAATGCCGGCATCGTTGGCTGTGCCTTGTTCTCTTAGGCTTTGTTTTGCTTTATTTCACTGCTCCTTGCCAGCTTTGCTTAGTGTAACATTCTGTGTTCGAGGCGCTCATCCTCATGACTCTATTTCTTTTCCTTCCCTTGTTTTTGCTTATAGTGGCAAAAAGTTTAATTGCAGCGTATTTATCTATAGTAAGTAACAAATTCAGTGCTTACTGCTCATGGAATATGCATGTGATATGATTAATGTAATTATGAAAAAGTAATTAAGGCAAGGGCCCTCGTGAGTTCACAAGCAAGGAAAATGAGACACAGTAAACTTTCTTTTTTCCCCCCTTCTGTACAAACTAGGTTTAGGTGCTTTCTGTTATTGCTGAGGTATTGTACAAGCTACATTTAATTGAGATGAGATTTCTTAATCCTTTAATAGTTTTCATGTTTTAGATACCACTTAAAGTGTGCCTATATGTGTGGAAATCATATACTGCATTTTGTATCTAAAAAAAAAAAAAAAGGACCACAGAAAATTATTTCCCTAAAATGTCATCTAGTAGCTTTGGATTAGTAATTGAAAAAGTTCCCATCAGAAAAATTTTTACGGTTGCAGAAATCTCTGTAAACTTTATCCAGAATATTTTTTGGCATAATTTAATTTGGTATAAAAATACCATATTGCCTGAGGCTTGACAAACAAATCATTTAAATGTGGTTCCTGAGTGCTGTAAGTTACCTTTGAAATTAAGCTTTAGCATGTAGTTCTTAGTCACCAGTGAAACAATAAATTGCCTTCCTTTTGTATTATACTTAGGCTGGTAAGTCTTTGATTAAGGAAATAGTGAATACTGGTGTTACATACAGAGTGGGGAAAAAAGTGAAAACTAGAATATTGTTGCAGATGTTTGAGCTTAGGGTAAATGTTACCTCTACGTCTTATTATTTTGAGGTGAATATTTATATTAGTGTAAAAGCTGTATTTTGGGGAGCTTTAGGCATAATTTTAAATTTCACTATATGAAACTAGTAGATTAGTGTCTGGATGTGAGGTCAGACAACAAGAAGTGGTTGTGTTTATGTGTTTAATGTTGATTTCTAGCCACTAGACTTCATTGAAATGTGATGATGGCATGCATGCTTCTAAATTGTTGTTGCAATGGCAGGTGAAACAGTTGCAGCTAAACAACCTTTTGTCATCATTTTAGTCTTTTTATGTAAGAGAAACAGTTTTCTAGGTGTTATCAGTAAATGAAAGTGCATTTTTATCTGATTATATAGTCTATAAATACAAACAAAGCAAAAACAACTTAAAAGAAAGTTACTTGGGTCATGTGAAGTCTGAAGTAGTAAAAGAGCAATATGAAACTGTAATCTTAAACTGATAGAAGTCCTTACAAGGAAGGGTAAGGATATCATAAAACTTTTGACCTTTATGGTTTAGAATTTATGCCTCTTACTAGTTTTCCCTGCATTTTTGAAGATTATGTAAACATACATTTCACTCAAAGGTATGATCTCCAAAGGATCCGTGTTTTTAAGTACAGCTGTATGGCTTGTTTATAGAAAAGAATTTGTAGTAGAGAAGGATTATTGCTTTTGCAGCAAGAGCTGTCATCTTATACCATGATTGCCTTATACTGGGCAACTTTTTGTCATTATTCATTAGTATGCATGGGCAAAGTCATGCTCAAGTCATCCATCCTCACAGTAAAAACTGTCTAACTGTGTAATAACAATCAGCTTGTAGTTCATATAGTTTTCCCCTATTTTTGTAATATATCTGGGTACCTAACTCTGTGAACTTACTCTTTTGCCATTTGTGTTTACGAAGGTCACATCAAAACCTGAGGTTAAAAGCACTGATAAATGTCTGTTTACTTTTTTTTTTTTCCCCCAATATCTTTGAGATAGTGGAAAAACAAGTGGTGTCCTCTGGGTAGTTTGTCAAACTATCAGTTTTGGGGGAATGGTGTACAGAAATAATCTTCATCTAGTCAGACACAGATGCACAAATGGAAATGATAATTAAATTTCTATGTCTAGTAATAGAAAATAGTTCTAAATCTGAATTAATAGATGTTTTCTATTGGAAATGAAATAATAATCTAATAAATATATCCTGACAGTGCTCTTTCTGAAGAAGAAAAAACTACATTGCGTGCTGGACTTATCGCCAACTTTAATGAGCCAGTGAATCAGGTTAGTGTTGAACAATTATTAATCTCCCAGCAAGTGCTTGCGTTGGTGTGTAGAATGGTTTCTGTATTCACAAAGTTTCAATTTACATGTTGCCTTTTGGATGGGTCTTTATGTTGAAGTGAGATCTTTCTCCATAGATCATAATTCATGGGCTTATTTAGGTTGGAAGCAACATGTTTTGTCTCTTTGGTTTGTTTTTGGTTGCAGTAGCAGCTTATGTAGTCCCTCATTGTTTATGCAGCCATTTGGTGAAGTGGTTCAGGGAATGGATGCAGCTTGAAAATAACCTCTGTTCCCCAAGTGATTTTTATTTCTTTCAGCTGTATCTGTTCTCTGATCTGACTCCCAGTGTAGCCATGAAAGGAAGTGTGTTGTTGGTGTAGCAGGAATGAGCTGCTGAAAATGCTGCTGCATAAACCCACCTTAGCAGTACTGCTGTCACGTGTCTAATTACAGCATTAATGAATTTAAATAGGCTTCAATAGGATAGTGTCTTGTCTTGTATAAAGTGACTAATTATAAGCTACTATTTTGATTAGAATAAGGATTTATTGTTAAATTTATTATAGAGCTGATGTTAGGGACTTAGAATATGCATATGCTAGATGAATCAGTCGTCCTTCTGCTAACTTATTCTTGCTCATGTAAGTATGAGATTCTGCAAGGAAGTATTTGCTAACATTTTAAGGTAGGTCTTAAAGAACTTTTTCAAGAAAATACAGGAATGAGTTGTATAAGGTGAAGCTTAACATGAAAAGCAAACAAATTCTGTTCTGCAGACAGAACTGTTCTCAGGATCCCTCAATGGGATTAATGTTATTTGTAGGATTAAAGCAATGTATCAAAATTAGGGTAATACAGTCTTTGTAGAAGACCTTTGTGCAATGACAATTTTAACTAGTATTTAAAGTTTTTTATTTCAAATGCAATTTTAAACAATGCAGGTATTTGTAGAAAATATCTTTAACTTTATAGTGCAGGCATATGATCAATGTAAAAAATATGACCAAATATTACTTGTTTATTTATTTCAACCAAAAAAAACCTATGAAGTATGTCATGTTGGACCATAACGTTTGTGTCATTTATGCTCCTACTAGGTAGTATAAAATTTATCAAGTATTTGATTTTGAAGTGGTTGCATGATATTTATATTTCTGAAAACCTAATGTTTACTGCATTGAATGTAAAACAACACAGACTTTGTGTCAATTTTTCCATACCTCTATTAGTGTTAGTTTGCTTTCTATGACAGTAGTAGTTATAGTAGTTTGTAGTTATAAATTGCACTGCTGATGTTCTGCAGTTCTGAGACTGGTACTTTAATTGACTTTTTAAAGACTAGCACCTTTATGTGTGTGTCCTTACAATATTTTTGGGTTGTAGTGTTTTAAGATGTGGAGGATTTTGTTTTGATTTTATGCTAGCAGCCTGCTTCTAAATGATTGCCCAAACAGTTATTGTTGCATTGAAGTATGTTTACAGACTTAATCTCCCCTTCTATCACCCTTGTTCCCCAGTCTGTGTTGTAAAAGTCTTGAGGTTTTCTTTCAGAGGCACCTTTCATTTAGTCCCCAGTCTGCTTGATATGCCTGAGTTTTGATACTCTGTGCTCCTGATAAGTGCTCTTTTCCAGTCGCAGATGATTTATAACACAGTTACTGTCTGACTGTGCTTTCTGCATCAAGGTAGAAAAAGTATGGCTTCTTTATATATAAAAAGAATCAAAAAATAGAAGAATTAGATGTAGAATTGAGATGTGATGATACATGCTGGCTTCTAGGGGAAGGGGAGAACTGAAACACAACATACCATATGTTGGGAGCATAATTTCCAGCCTGTGAAGATATTTAACATATGGAAGGAACAGAGAAACATAATAATCTTCGAAATGTATGACAGCAGGGTTGTGTGTGTTTTGTTGTTTTGTTTTTGTTTTGTGGTTTTTTTTTTTTCCGGGTGGTTTTTTTTTTCTTTTTTTTCATGTTTTGGGGTTTAGTTTTTCTTTTCCTTCACTTAAAAGTTCTCAAGGCAAAAGTACTCTTGGTATCCCTGGAGAGGTTGCTTCTTGTATCACATGTGGAGAAGGATTTATTTGCTCCCTCCTTCCAGTTGATATCACTTGATCAAAAAATAAGTAAGACTCACAGCTCTTCCTTGTAATGTTGATATAAGTTTTCTGAATTAATTCTTCTCCCTAAGCAAATGGATAGGAATTAATATTTTAGGAAGTTTTGCAGGGTGGTCAGACTTCAGATTAAACAGCTAAGGAAGCAGGGCATGGAAGGAGGGCATGGCTACTTCCCTCTTGTGCCTGTACATTGCTTGGATTCCTTTTGGTAGCATAAGGAAGCGACTTCTCTAGGCTGGAAGTATGGTGGTAGTTGGTAAGGGTATGTTGAAGGTGAGAGCATCTGCTTCATTAATCCAATCAAGAACCTTTTAAAGACGAATGGGATAAGAGCAGGAAAACAAGTATGTAAAGGTTTTGGATATTTGAGGTGGGCTTGTGAGGGACTACACAAAATCTGTTAAGGAACGTTTAGGAGAAGGGAGTTGTGGAGCAGCAAATTGGGGAATAGACAGAAAGAGGGTATGAAAAAGGCCAGTCATGCAAACCCACAGCTTGTCAGTATCCATGTCTGAACAAACCCTGCACGTAATCGCCACCATCTGTCCTGATTGACTCCCTTAACTATTTTTCTGTGTAATCTCACTTTTCACTGTGTGTGCATGCTGCAACAGCCAGGTGCCAGCTACTGGAAAAACCAGCATGAGTGGAATTTGGTGCTAGCAGCCAAAGTTGGATGGTGGGGGTAGTGCCTGTGGCCCATGGTGTGAGGATATGGAACAATTGAGAGTCTCAGCTTCAGATGGTGGGATGGAACTGTGCCTTACAGGCACGTGTGCCTGCGGGGAGGGAGTATCTCTGTCTAAAAGCTAGAGCTCAGGTATAATGAAGTAAGTGTAATATGTATTCAGCAGTCTGCGTGTGTTTGTAGAAAGTGGTAGAAAAGACCACCAAGTAGAATTGATTCCCAAATGTCTATTTCTTCATTTATGTGATTTCTAGAAGAAATACTTTGTAGTCTCTATGAAAAATTTAAACATGGCCAGATAAGCATTTTATGTAAACATTTAATATAAACATGAAATAGAAGATTGACTTTTTTGTTCTCTGCATTTATTTGCATTCCGCAAAACTAAAAATAGTTTGAGGGGGGAAAAAAAACCATGCATCTAGCAGTCTGTACTATTATTTCTTTTTTTTTTTTTAATTTAGATTAGGTTGTTAATTTCTGCATTGCTCATTTCTTAACTGATCTTTGACTTTGTTGTCTCTGCATTATGTTTTCCTTTTTTTTCCAGATAGCAACTCAGATCTCCGTACTAATTGCTAAAGTTGCCAGGGTGGACTGCCCAAGGCAATGGCCAGAACTTATACCCACTCTTCTAGAATCTGTGAAGGTCCAGGATGATCTTCAACAACACAGAGCACTACTTACCTTTTATCATGTTATGAAGACCCTGGCATCCAAACGGCTGGCTGCAGATAGAAAGCTTTTCTATGATGTAAGTAATGTGATGTGTGATTGTAGAGAATGCAGTCCCTGTATTGTACATGCTTGCCACTTCTGTGGTTAGCTGGAAGTGCATTAATGACATGTATGTTGACTTTAATGTCTGCCTTAAGTGCTCTTACTTTGGTGAGTGTATGTAAAATACGAAATAACTGAAAGTCGGTTTCTAGGTGAAATCTTTTTGAGGTCTTTATTAATTTTGCATGTAGCTTAAATGTATACTAACTTGTGTTAAGAAGCAGATATATTCATCTGCAGAACAATATCTACATACTAACCTTATGTTATGCTGTACAGCAGATCTGATTATATATAAATTTGCAGCGGTTTTGGAAGTGTGCTTTGGACTCATAATTCAGTATAATCTTGTTTTATACTATTTTTGAAATACTGGTTTTAAGGCTTCCATACAATATTATTTTTGGCTATTATTATCAGTGGGAGCGTGTTTGGGTTTTTTCCAGATTAACTTCTTTCTCCAGGTTAATTAAAAGGCAATACGTGAATAGAAATGCAGAGTTTTGTCTCATGCAGCTTACATTCTCCATTGCAAGAAATCGCTGATTAAAACACAGAATTACCTATGGCTTTAGGTTGTTGCATCTCCAATCCCATTTGGAGTTAGGCAATGATGTAGTACTGAATTTAGGGAGTTACACATCTTTTCCAAATGTGTTACACTTGAATTTTCAAAATTTTATTTCATTCCTCCATTTTAAAGAAAAGATTATAGGACAGATAATGAAGACTGTTTCTGAAGGGTTACCTGTTTATCTGTGAAGAAAAAAATTCCTGGCTGCATAATCATTAAAGTGAAATTTTAATCAGAAGTCTGAGGCATGGAAGGCTGACTCCTGTAATAGGACAGGACTGAAATGATGATACATTGCTATGAGATGTGTGTGCAGAGGAACAGTGTTTTTTCTCTCTCTGCCATATATAGGTATGGATGAATATAACCTTTGTATAGGAAATACTTGTTTATATTTTGAAATTTATTAGGCCATTATACATGATCTGGATAATTGAACAATACAGGTTTTGGTATATTCACAGATATTAATTCCAAAGCAATAAAGCGTGAGCAAGATAATGACTTCTTTTCTACAGCTCTCCTAAATCAAGATACTGCTTACACAGCCTCGTTATGCAGTTAATGCTCAAGGATATAGGGAACAAATCAAAACTCAATCCCAAAGCCCCACATTCATAAAATAGCCAAATCCATACCATCTTAATAGAGGTACAGAAAGAATTTATAGGTCATAAGGTCCAATATTTGGTTTTAAAGTTGTCATGTCCAACAGTACTTTTGCTTTATTTCCACCATCTTATCAGGTTCAAAAAGTTACATTCAGTCATTTTTGTGTTTCCAGGAAACTCATTAAGTTCGTGTGATTCTTCTTCCTTATAGAATGCCATTTTTCGAGCATGGTGATCTCTTTGTGTGTTCTTTCATTTCTAGGGTGAGAAGATAACACAAGAAAAGCTTTCTAGCTTTTTTTATTTTTGGTTTTTTGGTGGTTTTTAGATTTGTGAGGCAGTATAATTAAATTTCATTTTAATAAGCATGCTCTTCAATCAGGCTTTTTATGCTTAAACGTTGTTTTTTACTTGTGGATATGTTGAGGATCCAAAGCTCCTCAATCATCTGATTTGATGTGAATGAAACTTTGAGTGCATCCAGTTCCACTGTGCTGGGAACCTGTGCATGTTCACAGGTTATTTTTCATTTTAGGTAGGAAAAGGAAGTTTTCTGAGCATCTGGCACTATAGTTTTCACATTTAAGGATTTTTTGGGTTTGGGTTGTTTTTTGTTTGTTTGTTTGTTTTTTTGTTTGTTTTTGTTTTGTTTTGGTTTGGTTTTTTTTTAATAATGGCAAAGTTGGACAACTCTGAAATCTGCTTCTTCTGTCTCCTGATACTCCTGATAAAGGGAATTCACATTTGTATTCACAAATACCGTTGGGTGGTATTGGACTTCTCCTTGGAGTTAAAAAAAAAATTATGGAACAGAGCCATTTGAAGCTGAAAGTTCTAAAGCTTATGAAATATATTGAAAATTTTCTTGATACTTTCAGATAAGTAATTTCAGTTTCATATTTTTTTTTAGTACAGCTTTGGAAATACTTGATGAATTTTTCCTGTAATATGGCAGTTGAAGGTTACAAGGTCATGCTTACACATATGGCATCCCTTACTGAACTGTGTTACCTGAGGTTTAAAAAGAAAAATGTTAGCTGACATACAGATTGTGATACACTAACTTGTAAATGCAGCTCATTTATAGCTTCATCTTTCCAGTGAATAGTACAGTTATGATAACTACATTAGCTATCTTCAAAGTAGAACTGGCTGCTCTAGTACAATTTAAAAAAATGTAGCATCTGGTCATAGACCATCAGTAATATGCTTTTAAACATTTATTTTTCCTTTGAGCCTGTTTTTCTGGACTTGAGTTAAATGGGGATGGTGGGTCTTCAAAGGAAAACCAGTGAGTTTTATTTTTCTATCTTAATAAAAATGTACTATTACTTGATTGTGTGTGTTAAAACCTCTAGGACTTGATTTTTATGTAGTAGAACAGAGCTGTATAGCACATGTTGGAGAAGTAGTATCATGAATTTACTGCAAATCATTGAAAATACTGGTTAGAGGGGTTTTTTCCGATAATTACTTGGGCACTAAGCTTTTGAGTCTTCCTGTTGATTCCTAGCCTTGCTTTTGAAAGAATGGTGTGGTATTTTTACAGTTTACTTTTTTTCGGTGTGCATGTGCAAGCTGTGGAGTTCTGCACAACTTCTATTGTAAACTGGAAGCACTTTTCTTTACAGTCTTGCTATAGAGTACAGGAAGGTTTTGGTAACTTCTTTGCTACTGGATACACACTTACCCAGTTTCGTCTCTCTGTTGAACTTCAGTGAGGGTTTTTATGATTCTGATTTCTTTGCTGCTTTGGGGATTGATGAATCTTTGAAGTGTGGTCATAAGTAGGAATCTTGAATGGGAATACTCATGATCTTGTCAGACTATGAAATCCAGCGTTGAACACATATGTCATCTTTGCTTTTACTGTTACTGTTCATCATGAACAGTTTTCATTTATGTGATGCATTTCCACAAAGTGGATGTCTGGGAATGCCAGGAGAACTATGTGGATGAACAAGGAGCTTCTGGACAAACTCCAGCATAAAAAGGCCTACAGAAGGTGAAAGCAAGGATGGGTAGCCTGGGAGGGTACAAAGAAGTTGTCCAAGCAGCCACAGATCAGATTAGGAAAGCTAAAGCCCTGAAAGAACTTAATCTGGGCAAGGACACCAAGGGCAAGACGAAAAACTTCCTATAGGTATATTAGGGGTAAAAGGAAGATGAGGGAAAATGTGGGCCCTCTCTGGAAGGAAATGGGAGACCTAATCACCCAGGACAGGGAGAAGGCCAAGGTACTCAATGACTTTTATGCCTTGGTCTTCACTGACAAGAGCTCCAGTCACACTGCCTAAGTTGCAGAAGGCAAGGGCAGGCACTGCGAGAATGGAGAACTGCCTGCGGTGGGAGAAGATCAGGTTTGAGACCATCGAAGGAACCTGATGGAGCACAAGTCCATGGGGTCTGAGGAGATGCATCTGCGGGTCCTGAGGGAACTGATGGATGTATTTGCTGAGCAATTACCCATCATATTTGAGAAATCTTGGCAGTCAGGGAAAGTTCCTGCTGCGTGGAAAAGGGGAAATATAACCCCAATTTTTAAACAGGGAGAAAAAGAAGAGTTGGGGAACTACAGCCCAGTCAGTCTCACCCTGGTGTCTGACAAGATGATGGAGCAGATCCTCCTGGAAGCTATGTGAAGGCACATGGATAATAAAGGGATGATTGGTGACAGACAATATGGCTTTGCTAAGGGCAAATCTGGTGGCCTTCAATGATGGGGCCATGATGTTGGTGGATAAGGTAAGAGTAACTGATGTCATCGTCATCTGCGTGGGCTTGTGCAAGGCATTTGACACTGTCCTGCGTGACACGCTTGTCTCTAAACTGGAGAGACATAATTTGACGGATGGACCATGTGGTGGATAAGGAATTGCCTGAATAGTTGCACTTTAGATGCTGTGGTCAAGGGTTCAAGGTCTAACTGAAGACAGGTAACGAGCGATGTTCCTCAAGGATCACTGCTGGGACCAATCCTGTTCAACATCTCTGTCGGTGACATGGACAGTGGGAATGATGCACCCTCTGCAAGTTTGCCGATGACACCAAGCTGTGTGGCTCAGTTGATACACTGGAGGGAAGGGATGGGATCCAGAGGGACCTGGACACGCTTCTGAGGTGGGCCAATGCCAGCCTTATGAAGTTCAACAGTGTGAAGTGCAAGGTCCTATACCTGAGTCAGGGCAATCTCAGGCACAGCTGCAGGCTGGGCAGAGAAAGGGTTGAGAAGACTGAGAACAGCCCTGTGGAAAAGGACTTGGGTGTTGATTGCTGAGAAACTCAACATGACCCAGCAGTGTGTGGTTGCAGCCCAGAAAGCCAACCATATATTGGGCTTCATCAAAATGAGTGTGGCTAGCAGGTAGAGGAAGGGGATTCTCCCCATGTACTTCGCTCTTTTGAGACCCCATCTGCAGCACTGCATTCAGCTCTGGAACACCCAACACAAGAGGGACATGGACCTGTTCAGAGAGTCCAGAGGAGGCCACAAAGATGCTCAGAGGGTTGGAGCACCACTCCTATGAAGACAGGCTGAGAGAGGTGAGGTTGTTCAGCCTGGAGAAGAGAAGGCTCTTGGAGAGACCTTAGAGCAGCTGCTAGTCCCTAAAAGGGGCCGAAAAGAAATCTGGAGAGGGACTTTTTACAAAGGAATGTAGTGACAGGAGAAATGGAATGGCTTTAAGCCCAGAGGTGTAGATTTAGATTAGATATTAGGAAAAAATTCTTCATTGTGAAGGCAGTGAAATACTGGAAGAGGTTGCCCAGAGAAGTTTGGATGCCCCATATTTGTTAATAAAGCAGTTATTGTTTTAAATTTTTCTAGTACTAAGGTACACTGGTTAACAAACAAATGCATTTATCAAGAGTATATTCTCTTATTGGGGCTATGATTGCTGCTTTGAATTGTCTGTTTGTTGTTTGTTGTGGGTTTTTTTTTGTGGTGTTGTGAGATTCTTCTAGTTAACTTTGAGTTGTTATTGCTTACTATTATGATTATTCTATTTAAAAGAGACACCCCCAATACCGAAAGTCAACACCCAAAATGCATATAGGTTGAAACTATTGATAATTATTCAGTGATGTGTTTTTACAACTCCATGAACACATCATTGAATAATTATCAAGAGTTTCTACTCTCTCACCTTTACGCAAAGGAACCAGATAAACAGGTCATGTGCTTTTAATTCCATTGATGTAACATGTAGCAGACTAAGTGCAGTTTCTTCCTTAACTATGAAGCTGTCAAGTGCTACTCTAACTGAATGAGAAATTCTTTACCTTCTGTTTATACTTCAGATATCTTTATCAGGTAAGCACTGTTTGGAAACTGTAATGCGAATTAAGATTTGTTCACTGCTTGCTGATTAGAAAGTACTTGTCATTCTGTATTTTAAATACTTTGAGGCAAAAAGTCAGGGTTTGGAGCTATCAACAAAATAAAGTTAGTTCCAGTGTAGACATTGTTCGATATTATGTTTAGTAGATATAGGCATGTAACTACTAACTGTGTCCCAGACTAAGTTGATTCAGATACCAACTATGCTGTAAGACAAACAATTTAAGCCTTATGGAATAGAAGGTGGTGAGGAGACCTGTGGCTGTATTTAATGAAAATCAGATAAGAAAGGAGGCCTAAATAGTTGTCATTAAGGTGCTAGAGTCATAGACCAAGTAGTCAGAGAAGCAGGTGAGTTTGCTGTGTTCAGATTAAGGCAAGATATTTTTCTCCAAAATGTCTTCGTATCAGTAGAAAAGAAGTAAGTGAAGCACTGTGGCCCATGATATACAAGAAGATGAACTAAATAATTTAACAATCAAACTGGCCTTTAAAATGTAGGAATTTATTATGCTATAGCCAAATTGAGAAAATCAAATATATTGTTGGTTTTTTTTCCTTTTGCAGCTTACATCAGGCATTTATAGTTTTGCATGTTCCTTGTGGAATCATCATACCGATACATTCCTCCAGCAAATTTGTACAGGGGATGAAGCTGGAGCCGCAAATTCTCTAGAAAGAACCTTGTTGTCATTGAAAGGTAATAATATAGAATTGTATTAAATATAAGGATCAAATAAGTTCCTCAACAGTGAATGAGTAGGATTTCTTTGGTAAAGAATTTGTATTCTCTAACAAAGCCATGCCTTTTGGGAAAAGTAGGTACACATTATTTTACATGTACCTTTAGCAAGGCCAGAAGGATTGTTCACATGGAAGGGGGAGAAGATAATCCTATTTCTCAGTCTGTACCATTTTGATATGCATGTTGTGAGAAGTCTGGGAGGTGGGAAAGTGAAAGGCATAACAGGATGCTTTGTGTGTTGTAATTTAGGCTTGTTGTCTATCCTTAGGCACTTAAGAAGCGGAGCAATGAATTTTGTTGTGTTAAGTTCACCTTGTGTTCAGTGAAGAGGTAGCGTTAGCAGTGAGTTTAGATTTAGGTTGATGCTCAAGTACTTAGCAGTGGGGTGAATGCATATCCTTACCGTACACTGCTGCTTTGAAAAATTGAGATGTTTGTGTGCAGTGCTTGCAATGTAGGTGATGCCTTTATTGAATTGTTTCAGAAGGTGCAGCATGTGGCTTTTCTGGGTTACTGGCAAGAGTAAACCTGAGAAAATTCACAAGATGGCTTATAGACCCTGCTTGACTGTACTTGCCTCTTTTCCTGCTGGAGAGCCTTTCAGGTGTTGAATTCCTACAGCTTTTGCATTATTCTACTTGAGTCAGTAATTCTTGAAGTCCTCTTATTTTACACATAACATACTGAATATTAAAGTAATTTCAAGAAGATTAGATTCATGTTAGGTATGATTGAGGCCCAAAGGCCCAAAATGAAATGTATTTTTTAATACGGAGAATTGGAAGAAAGGCACAGCAACTGTAATTTTCATCGTGTTCTGAAATCTGTTGGAACAAGGGCTGAGAAATACTTATACAAGTAACTTCTTTTTTTTCCTTAGTGCTTCGTAAACTGACTGTCCATGGGTTTGTAGAACCCCACTGGAATGCAGAGGTGATGGTAAGTGACATATATCTCTTTCTAATTCTAGATTAGAAATCATTTGTGATGATTTTGGGTGTTGTTATTTTTAAGAATCATTGAAATGCACACATTTGTGTTCTGTAATGGAAGATCAAGCAGCGCGCTCTCAAAGGTTGTCTTCCCATCAGTTAAGAACTGTTAGATCCTAAATACTGTGACACCAGTGGCATGATGTTTAAAAAAGAAAATGTACCCTTTCCAATTTACATGTCATGTGATAGTGACACCCTGTTGCCTACTGAGAGGTATCTTGTATGTATTCTCCCCCGTAATTTGAAGAGGATATTTTCGTTTAATGTTGAATGTAATGGTATGTTTGTCCTATCAAATTCTATTGACAGAGTATTTCTGGTTGAGATGAAAGCCTATGGTATGTAGCCCATATTGGGGGGAAGGAGAGAAACAAGAAAGAAACCCAAGCACCTGCCTTAACTCCAAACACGATCTGCTTTACTGGAAGACTTGGGTACCTATGAGCTAAATTAGGAAGTTGAGAACAGGGTAAAACTGGATAAGCAAATTGTAAAGCATTTGTCTATATTAACCTGTACTTCTCTCTGTTGGAGAGCTTTGGTGATTGTCTGGTACTAGTAACTTTGGTTTGGATCATATAGGCAGTCTGCTAGCTAGCTAGCTAATTACTTGTTTCATGAGGAAATTGTTTGTTCCAGATAATCGGTTATTTAGTTAAAAATGATCAGGTGATGTCTGAGGTAGTTACACATCTGAACTGACTTCAATTTGACTCAACTTTCTTTTCATAATACAGTGCAAATTAAGCTTCATCTTTAAAAGACACATGTACTTCTATATTTTACAGGGCTTCCTACATGCAGTATTTGAACGGCTAAAACAATTCCTGGAGTGTAGTAAGTGCTTGGATATTATGCCTTGTATTGGTTGTTAAATATTAGTAACTGGATGAAAACATAATATGATTTATTGCATCATCAGTAATAATTTAGGTGGAAGGTATTTTTTATATGTGCAGAGCTATTACTTTAAATGCTAGAACTGTCAGACTTAAGTAAAACAAGTCCTTTTATAGCAACAGACTAAAATCCTACCAAAATTATACTTGGTGTGATACTACCAATCAAAAAAAAAAAAAGATGCTACTAAAAAGCAGGTAATGTTGAGGTTTTTTTTCTTAGGGAGAGTTTTAAGTTTTCTTCTTTTTTCCTGGAGTTTGCCGTCTATTTTGGTATATCAAATGGGATATATAGACCACATTCCTTTGTATGTAATTTATAACTGCAAAAGTAGTAGTCTGAGACAAGCAAGCACATGTTAACACAGTCAACACAAATATAAGCATAATTAGCAGGTGTTAGTGCTTTTTCAGGGGAGTTAGCTGGAGCAAGCAAAAAGGAAATGTTTGGTAGTGTTGCATTTGAACTCGCTCCTGTTTGCTTACTTGTATAATTGTAGTAGACCTGGTGCGAGCCATTTGTTCATCGGAAGCCTGTCAGGTCATTCTTCTAGGCTTCAACAACACTTTTCCTGAGAACAGATGTCGAAACTGAGTAGAATCCCGTTTCTTTTTTTTTTTTTCCTTTTTTTTTTTTAAATTTATTTTGTTTTATGTAAGTGAAGGTACTTGTGTCAGGAGCCTGTATGTAGCTGAGAGGGGCTGATCTGGGCTTCAAGCCTCATTTCTAAGAAAGATGAAGAGTGCTACCATGTTCAGTGCCAGAGTAAAATACCTTTTTAAATCTTCTAAACTGCAGGCTTCTTTGCATGCAAATGTTTGCTCCTCTACTACATTAGAGTCACTCTCTTTCTGGCCCTTCCATTTTTGGCAAGATAGTTGCCTAGCCTTAATGGACTGAATTGAAAGCAGTTTTGTCTGAAGCTTGGTGGTTATCTTAGTCACATAGAACATGAGAACTGTAGGATTTGAATGTCCTGAGATAAGAACTGAGCTGAACCTCCCCACTTCCACTTTTCTAATGAATATGTTGTTTTACAAAAGCAGGCATGACTACCTTGCAAGACTAGTGTTTACATGAATTTTCCTGTATGCCTTCATTATTGGTCTTTTCTTCTTTTTTTACAGAAGCTTTATCTGTGTGTGGTTTTTTTTGGTTTGTTGTTTTTTGTGGTTTGTTGTTTTTTGTGGTTTGTTGTTTTTTTCTGTAAATTCAGAATGTTTTCCAGTACCCATAATCAATTATTCTTTTAAGGTGAAGATTTTAGAAGAGCACATAGTATTATGTAATAAGGATGTACCATAGTTTTAATGAAAGGAAATTTTAATCTTTTCAATGTTTTTTGACTTCTTGTCCATGATAACATTTGATTGCATTATTTTATTTGGTTTTTTATCATTGAGTTGTCTGTAATGATGTCCCAGTTGTTTTATTGTGATCAGTAACAGTGAATTTCAGTAAAGCTGAGATAAATCGTTAAAGACTATTTCCCCCCCCTCAGTACTCATTACCTTAAATTTGACTTTGAATTTATTGTGCTGTAGAACTTTTTTCTGGCTGCTGTAATCCCTGAACTGCAGAAAAAACACGGTTTTTTCCAGTGTTAATGTTATAAGGCTTAGCTATCCAGAAGGAAAAGTCTGGAAAAATTACGGTTGTTAAATCTCTGATTTACCAGGTAGAAGTATAAGAGCAGAAAACGTATGCAGAGATCGTGTAGAAAAGACTATAATTCTGTTCACTAAAGTGGTAAGTAGATTTTTCATTCAATTGCTGAATAGTTTACCATTCTGGAGAAGCAGTCGCCATTCGGATATGTATGTGGCTTAAAGCAAATAGGTTTCAAATCTTTTAAAGAAATGGAAGGTACCACAATTTAAAACTTCATTGTCATGAAATAGATATATATATATTTTTAAAAGGGTGTTTATTTATGCTGACGTAAGTTGGTGTGAAGAATACATTTCCTTAGCTCAAACAAAATTAAATTAATTCCATAAGTAAATTATTTAGCTAGGATTTTGCTCAAAAAAGAATTTTGGAAGTTTGCTTAAACATTGCTGTCAGCATTAATGAATAAAGAAGAGAGAAACTCTTCATCCTGTTTACATAAGCAGTTAGATTGCAATTTCTAAGACTCTTACAAGTTTTACTAGGTAACTGGCCACTTCTAGTTTGTTGAAAGAAAATTAACAAAAAAGCTTTCCTACTGTCTGTGACTTTTGTATTATATAGTGCATTTGGAGTTGTTGCTAATTCCCTGCAACCGTTAAATTTCATATATTATCAGAAGGTAATTTTATCATTGTTACTGGCTCTGTTTTTAAAAGATATGAAATGTACAGAATTCCCATTGTTTTCAGATCCTATTTTGGGGCCATGGATGTTATTTAAATATTCAGCCTAATTACATTATGTGGGAGGCACCTGTCTGCTTCACCACAATTATGCTGAAGGCGCTCTGATCCAACATTTTTGGTCTTTGTCATAATACTTGTTACTTTGAACTAACAGGCAAAGTGTGTGAGGCATATGAATCTTTTTTAATAGACCTGAAAATTTGCTTTAATAGATAATTTACTACACGTAGAAATTCAGATGCAAGAATTTAGTTGTAGACATTTTTGCAGAGTAGAAGAGATTAAATGAATTGACTGATACATTCTAGATCTCTAATTGGAAAAGCTAAGATGAAGAAGCAAGTGATAGTATTGCAGCTGAGGGGGAGAAAAAGGAATAAAAAGTTACTTCCCTTGTGCCTCTTTTACTTAACAGTAATTCAGATAGGGGTGAACTATCTACTAAAATATCCAGGCTTTTAAGTGTGGTTGATATGTACTGTGTTGCTAGCAAGATGGTCTAGTTGAAAATGGGTATTGTTCCTTAAGCTTTAAAAAAGGTAATTTTGAACATGAATGAAGAATTTCAGGGCAAACTAATGCTTCATTAACCATTGATCTTCCTAATACCTTCCTAATTTCCTGTCTGTGTTCAGTTTTCTTTTCCAGATTTTTATGTAAATTGGCACTTACTTTCGATAGCTAGTTTATGAAAGCATTTAAGACTTGCATAAAAAGTGATTTGATTTCTTTCTTGCTTCTCTACTTCCTTAATTTTTAGCTTTTGGACTTCCTGGATCAACATCCTTTTTCATTCACCTCTTTGATTCAGAGGTCATTGGAGTTTGCTGTAAGCTATGTTTTCACAGAGGCTGGTGAAGGAGTTGTATTTGAGCAGTTTATTGTACAGTGCATGAATCTCATAAAAATGATTGTAAAAAATTACGCATACAAGCCATCCAAAAATATTGAAGGTACTGTAGCTTCTTTTATCTTGATAAACATTTTGCTAGTTGCTCACAACAGTAAAATTCCTTTAAAACATTCTTTTGAAGCATTTTGTTGTAATAGTTGGTAGTGTATGCTGCTGTCTCTATATCAGTAATTCTTATTTTGATGGTAAAAGTATTAATGTATGTAAACATTGACTTGCTAAAGTAATTTTAAATACCCAAGAAGTCTGATTTTAGTGTTTATTGAACTAATTTTAAAAAGTATTGAGGTATGGAGTGTGGTTTATTTTCATCAAATGTTTTGATGCGTCTTTCTGTTGAGAAATGTTTGGTAAAATGGAGCATTTGCTGTAATTAACTAATACCACTACTCTGAAATACACTGAATTTGATGTGCAGTTCAATATAAAACAATTCAGATGTTCTGTTTTGTAGAACTGTGTTTCATTCTCAATCTTCATACACTGCTGTATGCACAGGTAATGGAAAGTAGAATTCAACTACATTAGAAAAAAAACCAAACCACAACATTCCACCTTAGTTTGACATTTGGCAATGATAAGATAAGGGCAAAAAAAAAGTTTCATGAGCATCCTGACATGTGTTAGGTTTTACAAGCCCAGCGTTTAAAATTCTTGAAAATATTGATGTATTTCAGTGTTAATCCATGATTTGATAATACATAAATTTCCTAAAGCCAATGATCATTAACAGAAATTTCTACTTGCAATATTTCATAGCTGTATTTGAGTTTTTGAAATAGAAATGTGGTAACTTGAGACCAGAAAAAGATAGCAGCACATCTGATAATAGCTGTAGCATTTGACTATCGGAGAACTGGATGATGAAAAAAAAAAAAACCAGGAAAATTTATTTTTCTTAGTTAGACAGTTAAACAGGGTTTGTGTTGGTTCTGTAGCACACAGTATTTGATTTTATTGCTGTTGTCTTTGACCAGTATTAAGTATTAAAAAAAAAAAAAAAAAAAAGACTTTTTTACTTTTTTTTTTAAGATTGTATTTCAATACACTTTCTGAATAGGTGTAAATGAATCTGAGTTTTATGTGTTCAGTAATGCTAAATTAAAAAAAAAGAAGAAGTAATGCCAAAAGCAGCAGGTAAACAGTTTTTCTTTTCATCTACATACTAGCTGAAAAGCATTATCAATACTTTTTGAAGCCCTAATTACCTTTCAGTCTAATTGTGCTCTTACAGAACTCTCTTAAAAGTAAATTAATTTTGGAGCTTGAAGTACCACCAGAATGTCTGTTAAAGTCTGACATGAAAATGTATTGTTTTGTTGGGTGTTTTTCTTCCCTTTCTTATCTATTGATCTCTTTCTAATTTTAATAGACTAGTGTTTGATCTTTAAGCCATTTAATTGTAATTTGGAATTTTCTATTTTTATTTCAGATAGCAGTCCTGAAACCCTTGAAGCACATAAGATAAAGACGGCGTTTTTCACATACCCAACATTAATGGAAATATGTAGGAGATTAGTCACTCACTACTCAAAGGAAGAATTAACCATGTGGGAGGAGGATCCAGAAGGCTTCAGTAAGAAATGTGTTGTATAGTTGGTTGCAATTTATTTAGTTATGGTATAAGAGTTGCATACCCTCATTGTCTCTAAAAATTGCTTATCGCACTATTGGCTGTTTTATTTTTGGTAGTCTTGTTACTTGCATGAATGTGCCCTGTAGAGATCGTTTGCATAACAAGAGATTTCTTAGTAGTCTGTGATATGCACATGTTTAAATAATAAAGTCTGTTTGAACCATAGTTGAAATAATGGTTTGTTTTTTTTCTTTTGTAAAATAATAGCTGTAGAAGAGACAGGAGGAGATTCATGGAAGTACAGTCTCAGAGTAAGTATTTCAGTTTGAAAGAAAACCTTTCAACGCTTCTTGCTGCATTTCTTAATATTCTTGTAATGAGAGACGATACTTGGTAGAAAGCTAAGGTTGTGCTTTAAAAAAAAATCTTTACTAATTCTAATGAAATTTCCTTAACTGTAAATTAACTTTTTTTCTTTATCAATAATTAATTATGTAGAAATACACTGGAAACTATGCACTTCATATTTAGGAGGGAGGATGATTTGCTTCAGCATTTGTGTTGTCTAGTATCTAGTGATTAAACCCACTGAAAGTTGTCTCTTCTTTAAACTGGTAACTGGTATTACCACTTATGACCTTATTAGTAGACATGATGAAGGAAGAAAGTTTCAGCTGCATCTATATTAGCATTTTATTTCATACCAGATCAAAAGTATGCTGTTATAGTGAATCTCCCAGTTATCATTGCTGTGGTTTGCTTCACATAGAGATCTCTAAGTTTATTTGCTGGGTTGCTTCCATTTTAAAACTAAAAACTCCAAACCTGTGCATCTGTTGTGTTCCAAGCACAAATGGGTATTCTGTCCAGACGTCTCAGCTAAAGCTAATCCAAAACGAAACCATGACATACATATAGTCTGATCACTGGGTCCTCAGCACAAGCTATTTCAATCCTCGGATCCATTGTTCTTCTACCATAGAACTGGCTGACACAGATACAGCCAACAAACTACCAAAAGTTAAGCATACTATATAGTAGTAAGACTGGTATTCATACAATACTAATTTTCCTACGTTATACTGCATTTTAAATTGTTCAGCACTTGAAATACATTTTGTGCTAAAAGGTTAATTGTCTTTGTTGTGATAGATTCTAAAGCAGATCTGTTAATTTTTCAGCCATGCACGGAAGTTCTTTTTATTGATATTTTCCATGAATATAACCAGACTCTTGCCCCTGTGCTTTTAGAAATGGTTCACAGTCTACAAGGTAAGTCATTTAAATAATAAAGGAACTGTAAAATCTGGCATTCTTTACACTTGCTTTTGTCAACTGTTAAACAATTTTACCTTGTGATACCTAATTTTATACACTCTGTATTTGTGAAAGGTCATGTTAATACTTTAAAACTATTTCTAAACCTACCATAAGGAAAATGCCATGTCTATCTAGGAAGACGAAATCCTAAGTATTCTTTAACTTTCATCGTAAATAGGTTAGATGACTGGCAAAGATTGGGGCATTTTTACTCTCAGAAGGTTTCAGGCTTTCTTGAGGATGGTCAACAAGCTTCATAAAGTCTGTAGGTTGTTTTTTCCTGGGAACTTCCTGTTCAAATGCTTCAGGGTAGTTTATGGTAATGTTTATGGTATGTCTGAAAATATCCTGGGGAAAAAAACTTTAAAGGAGAAAGTTCAAGTCATGCTGTTGTCCAGATTGTCAGGAGAACTTTCCAAATCTGAAGAATCTGCTTAAAAAATTGAAAGGTTTTCTGTATGAAGACTGAAGTCTTCGTAGGCTGAGTAGTTCAAGTATTTTTCCAATTCTATTGTATAATTCTTCATCCCCAAACGAAGTTTTACTGTGGCCATAAAACTTAATTAGTGGTAGTTGCCACTTAGTTTTCCCTGTCATTTCAGTCTAGGTTGTTTGCCCAGGTTGCATCTTACCTGACTTAGAATACTTTATGTTTGAACTTACCAGAATGGATCAGTAGATTCTATTAAGTAGAGATAAGTACTCATTTTCTGAGAGTAGTTTCTAACTTCATAGAATCTTTTTACAAAATACTTCGTGTACGTAAGTTTCAGGATGGCTTGCTGTACTGTGCTGCTGGGAATGGTAGAAGGTTAGTTAGTTTTCCAAGAATTATGGAAGTTAATTCTTCCATGGAAAAGGTATGCATACACTTTTATTTTTCCCCACTCCTGAAGGCCCTAGTAGTAGCCATTTATGGAAGTCTGCAACCTGAGAGTTAATATAAAAGACGATATTAAGAATTCACTAGTTCTTAAAATTTTGGAAAATCTTTACTTGTACGTTGTAAGTATGCATGCACTAGTATATAAAGTGTATAGGAACTATGTCTAAGACTGTCATAAACAGTACCATATGTGGTCAACATTCTTCAGCAATCTTCAGGTTTTGAGTTTGTTCATTTAGAATGCATGTTTTGGACTTATTTCCGTGTTGCTGTTAAAAATGTTCATCTCTGAAGTCAGTGAAAAACAGGATCTGAAAGAGATTTGATTTTAGTATAGTCACTGAAGAAAGTATCAAAACTGAAATAACTGAACTTGCAAATAAAACAAAACCAGTGAATTAGTTTTAATTCACAGCACATTTAAAGTGTGTAAGTGCAAAGTTGCTTGTGTTCTTTGTTTTAGTTAAGCTTTTTTCCTTATTTTGTCTTGTAGGATCTGCTAATGTGGAGGATACCAATGCTATATTGATTAAAGATGCTGGTAAATTAAATTACACTTTATCTTTGACGTAACATAGCTGCTTTTCTGTGTGTGCTTGACTTCTTAAAAATTATATGAAAAATTTGCAAGATTTTTTTTAAAGACATCTGGAAAATGGGACCTAAATTCCATTTCTCCTATCACTTGATGTCAGTCTTCAGTTTTATGAAATGCTTATGTAAAAATATGGTGCTTTTTTTCAGCTTTTTTGTGAAACAAGGCCTCAGACAAACTCCCTTACTGTCTGTCCTTTCCTCTCTGCAAATAAATGAGCTACAGTGCTTTCATGGAGATACTTTGTCCATTTTACAAGTTGGGAGATATTTGTGTCCAAAAAAAAAGCTGCTGGTGGAACCATTCTAGATGTTAGAATAAGATCTTCATTGTTCTTACGAGTTTTAACTATTTTCAAGTGTCTGAATTTTCTTCTGTAATACATTTCTTTTACTAAATGTTCCTCCAGAGCTCCCTTCGCTGCGATCTGATTATATCTTTCCTCAGAAAGATATGCTTTAGTTCTGATTCTTTATTATGTTCAGGTTATAAAAAGTGTTCTGTTTGGTTTAATTTAAACATTTAAGCAGATGGTAAGCATAACTATTGTTTTTCCCCAGTGTATAATGCGGTTGGATTGGCTGCTTATGAACTATTTGATAGTGTGGATTTTGATCAGTGGTTTAAAAATCAACTACTGGCAGAACTACAGGTTTCTCATAACAGGTAAACACCTTGTTTTCTTTATGCCATCATTTACATGTGAATTGTTGATACAAATCTGGTAAGATATAAATAATGTCCAAGAATTGCAGGCTTGTAAAATACTCTATTTTTAAGCATATCTGCTGAATGAGCTGAGATATAAAATACCTATAGATAACTGATAGTGTCACAGGAATGACAGTGTTCATGACAGTTTGTGTTTAAATTACCCTGTTGTGGATGCATCTAGGCTTCTGTAAAAATATTGTAAGTCTATCCGCTTGCTTATATTTGAGTTAATTAAATTTTCTCAGAACAGCTCATTGAAACAAAGATATTTAGGCCTCATGAGACCCCACAGCCATTTATGCAGCAAAGTCCAACTGAGATCTGTGGAAATAATCATAACCAAAATAGTGATTTTCCTCCTTTCTTTTTTTTTTTTCTTTTGCTTCCCTCTCCCCTTTATTCTCCCCCAGTTTAAGTACAAGCCCTCTGTAGCACACTTGAGTTAATTTTGCCAGCAGTAAAGCGTGGAAGGAAGTATTTGGGTTGTGTTGTAAAATGTAAATGATTACAAGCTGGTTCTACATAAAGCAGCCCATCTGCTGTGGGTTTTCATTCTCACCAAGGTCCCCTTCATTTGGATGGCCTTCAGAAGAGTACCATTTTATTGTTTAGGAGATATTACAGGGTATTTTAAAAGATCAGTTTTGGCATCTCAGTACAGACTGAGCTGTCCATGGCTACAGCTGACTAGAAGACAGTGCTCCTTGCTGTTCCTCAAACTGTCACTCTTCCCTCAGGAGAAGAACAGTGACTTCTATTGTGTCTGCCAATCCTCATCAGATGAGTTCCAAATCAGCCTTTGACTCTGAATAAGTATGTCCTGTTTTTCTCATCAGAGTCATTAGCAGTGACCCTAATGTCCTGTGAAGAATTTTGTTTTTTTTTTAATCTACATTTGCAGTACATCTTCCCAGACATAATTGTCACCTGGAATATAAACTAGTCGGTTTGCTAATGCCCTTCGGAGCTATAAATTGTGAATTATTTTCCATTATGAGTTGCTAGTAGCATTTTATTTCCAGGCGCCCGTTATAAACACTTCAATTTCATGTAGAGTGGAAGATACTCATAAACTAACAAATAGTAAAATGCTTCTTTTTCAGTACAGTATACTTTTCAATAAATTATTTGCTTTTGGATGTATAATCCTACTTCAGTCATAGAGTAATTGCCACATTTGTTTACCTGCTGTTTCCTAATGTTTTTATTCTTATTAGTATTTTTTAAATTCTTTTGCATGATCTCAATTTCATATTGCTATCTGCCAGTCGCCAAGTACTCTAATGGTTAGGCTGAATGTCAGAGGAGGAGGGAAAATGAGAGAACTTGAGATCTTGCATATATGATTGATCCGATCATCTGATATGTTGTTTTGCTACACCAGCACCAATCTTTGAATAAAGCTGCTGTGGTATCTGTAGCATGCGCTGGCCATATAGCATATGTAAAACTGACTAAAGTCTTGGTTGATACAGTTGTAATTACACTTGGAAAAACACCTGATATAACCATTTTGTTGGCATTTGTGATATCCCAGGGTGGAATTCCTGTGGGGAACAGTAACTTGCAGTAGAAATTGTCCAGAAGTTTGAAACCTTGTTTGCCTGAACTGCTTCTGCTGACAGCACCATTGGAGACCACCATGGCAATAAGGGAGGTGGTGCTAGCAGTTTGAATGGAATGCTGTCTAATGACAGCTTCAGGAATACATATGCAGTTCAGATAAGGCAGATACCACCTGTTTCAGATACACTTGATATCACAAGATACCGCTTGCTTCAGATACAGCAGGCATCACCAGAGCTGAAAATCCTCGCTCTCACCATATGGTTATGTACCATATTGTGTCATTTAAAACTGTGACAATGGCTTGAAAACTATCTAATGCTAATCTCAAGAAAAAACTCAGTTTTTTAATATTCTGATTTTTACAAGGATAAGTATTAGGCAGGAGCATTCTAAAAGTACAAGACATACTGTCACAGCTTCTGGGATAAATAGGAGAACATGTTAGTAAGGCATTGTCTTGTGTAAGTCATACTTCAGCATGGGTTGTTCATGCTTCACTGCCACTTAATAAATCTCAAGCAACACTGAAAAGTTATTCCTTATTAGCTTTGTGGTCCAGTCTAATGAACTGGTGTGTACATGCTACTTCCACAACTTTCATGTTCTCTGAAGATGTGCTTTGTTAATTATGGGAATGTTTAATAAATCACACTTAATAAAATGTAAAGAAGCCTTAGTAACTTCAGTTTAAATTGTGGTCTTGATGGCTTACAAGGTAGCCATGAAAAAATACTTTTAGGATAAATAACAAGGGAAAAGAATTCGTTAGGTAAAATTCTGTGAATAGGGTTAATCTTCCCTAACTGTATCTGTATCTGCAAGTTAACCATTAAAATCTGAACTACTCTTCCTGATAATCTTTTATAATTGGTGGAGAAAAACAGCAGCTCTGCAGAATGCTTTTCTCAATCATTATATTAGGCAGTTCAACTTGTTCTGATTCTTACTTTTTCCATTTGACTCTAAAGTTGATTGATTTGTGCCCTTGTTGCAGCAGCGTTGCAAGATTAGGTAATGCCAGTTCTTAGATTAGTTTTAGACTGATGACATAAGTAATGCAGTACTTAAGTTTGCATTTTTCAATGGTATCTGACATGAAATTTTGAGTATAAAAGGAATGTCAAGGAAATAGCTGGAAACTGTGGTGAAAGCAGTAGACTCCATGATGGCAGTAGTTAGCAGATTAGTTTCTTTTATTGTTGTGCTATGTGCAGAATGAACTATCTCTAGTGAGGCCTTCAAGATTCAGCCATTTGGGTTGACAGCTATCCTTTCTCCAATTAAGTTGGTGTTTCCTGAGCCTTCTAGTGAAGAATTTTGAAAGATTTATGTGCTAAAGTTCCAAAGCTGGTCTTTCAAACTAAATATTCTAATAATTGTTTTGGGGAACAATGTTCTTTTATATTTCTTTTTCATTGAAATGTTGTAGAACAGCAGGTATAATGAGTACTATTTTTCCTACTTTTTAAAGATATAAGCCAATACGCCGACGAGTAATTTGGCTGATTGGACAGTGGATTTCTGTAAAATTCAAATCAGACTTGAGGCCTGTGTTGTATGAGACAATTTGTAACTTACTTCAAGACCAGGACTTAGTGGTAAGTATAAATAAGTAATGTTTTAGATTATACTTTTGAATAGCTATAGCAAGTCTGGGTTTTTTAATAAGAAAGTTGTGAAATGTCTTGAGATAAATAATTGAGAAACAAATGAACACTGTGTAGATAAAACAGGGTTGTTCCGTGAGCAGTTTCTGCAGCATACAGTATTACTTAAGCATAAACATAGTTATCTGCTAGCAGAATATTTGTCATTGGTTGCTAAGCTGGTTGAATACAATTCTGGGGTTTTAAGCTACAATTTCAGTTTACCAGTGAATGAGATTGAAATGAGAAACTGGTTTCATGATTGTTTAAAAATAAAAGCAAAAGAAACAGAGAGACCAATGAGCCAAAAAACAGATCAAGAAACCTAGCTAGTTTGTTAGTTGAGTATTAGTAATTGGCAGTCGTGTTATTTCTGTGATTCTAGACAGCTTAATCCAGACAGATCCAGACAGGATCTGTTTCTGTGTTATGTGGCTGTTTTCAGTTAATGTTCACTGAATATCCCAGAAGAAAGAACATGCTCACTTACTGAGTGTATGTGATTCTGTGCCTTTTGAGTGACAGCGATCGCAAGTTAAACTCCTTCTCTATTGCAGTTTTCATCACAGCCTAGATATCTTCTTGTTTAATTCTTTCTTCAAGGTTTTTCCTGAGTCGTTTCTCCACATGGTACTACTTTAGCAAGGTCAAATAAAATGTAAAGGATACTGAAATGAAAGCAGGTGAAAATATTTGTGTTGAACTAACTACATTTCCTAGAGGATGCAAGAGCACATAGAATGATTCAGTTGACAAAATAGTAACCGATTTGATACTGTCAGACATTATGTTAATAATCAAAATGTTTAATGGACGTATGTATGATGCTTATTGACTTCTGTCTTTCAGGTCCGTATCGAGACAGCTACAACACTGAAGTTAAATATCCTTTTGTTGGCAAAGATGTTTGATTAGCTCCTCATTCAGAGTTACTGGAAAATAAATAATTTAAACTTACTACCAAATTCTTCACATCATATTTTTTGTTTATCCATGGAATATTTGCTTATTTGAGTCTCATATCCATCTGCAATCTGTATTATTTGTCCTTAATGGTTTTTTACCTGTCGATGACTTTGAGTTCAGAACTGACCAGTTCTTACCGGTAAGAGCCTTTATGTAGGTATAGTCTATAAACATATAGATAAATGTTTTCCAGTTTCATTTTAAACCAAACTATTTAGTAATCTCTGTGTGTGTGTATGTTTTGGGGTTTGGTTTAGGTTTTTTTCTCTTCGTATACCAAAACATGTAAAGACTCATATTGCTGCTGTTAAGGTTGCTAATGTGCGATATACAGACAGACAATTTAAACTTTTTAGTATTATGACTATTACAGCTTCCTAGGATTGTGTTCAATACTACATATACTATATGTTACCAGATACTAAGTTTCGTCATGTTAAGACAGTATGAATGCTGTCTTTAACAAATATGTCTCAACACCAGTGTGACTTGCCAGTTTAGCTGTTTCACAGATTACTTTCTGACCTGCTGTTTCACACAAATATTAATTATAAGTGTGTGGTTAAAACAGCACCTTAAAAATACAGACTTTTCCTGTTCTCTTATATTTGTGTCCTTTCAGTGGTCATTACTGATGTCGTTAAACAATGAAATGTTAGCTGTAAATAAAGACTTATTTTGATCACTCAAATTTAGCAGGTGCTTTTTCTTCTAATTTGATTGACTTCCATGTTAATTGCAACTCTCTTGAGAACAAACAAATCAAAAATGTGCATCTGTGCAGTAAACATGGAATTTTTTTAAGATTTCTTTTACAGTTCAATGTATGAATTTTATCTACGGACCCAAAAGCTTAAAGACTGTACCTTGCTTTGACCCTAACAAAGTGCTCCTTCTGGAGAGATGGCCTTCAGCTTTATAGTATTTTATCTGTGAAGTCATGTTTACGCTTATCAAAACATGAGTGATATATGTTAAAACTGATCACATTTGAACTGTTATGTAAAACTGTATTTGAATTTTTTTATCTTGTTTGGATAAGACAGTAACATTTTGCACACTCTGTAAGTATCTTTCAAAGATCATAGATGTCTTAGAGTTGTAAGTGTACAATTTTATTTTTGATGGTCTAATCTGTAGCTGTTTATTTTGCTTTTAGTATCTGGAATCCATGTTTACACTGCTCTTTCAACTACTTCAGGAAGTAACAGAGTGTGACACCAAAATGCATGTTCTTCATGTTCTGTCGTGTGTGATTGAAAGAGTCAACATGCAGGTATCTTTTTATAGATTTCAGTGCTCACTTTGTACTAACAACATAGGGGAGGATTTACACCAAAATAGTAGGAAAATGGCATCAGTTAACAAACTGGTTATTGTTACTGTAGGTGGCTGCAGTGTTTGCATTATTTGGTTCTCTTTTCACTTTCAGTTCTCATTTATCTTTTGTATAAAATGTTCTTGCTCAGTTACTGCTTTATTTACGATATATTTTTTTGTATTGACACATTTGAGAATACAGAAAGACTTAACTGCTTACTGCATTTCCTGCAGTTTTCTTTTTTTGGTTATAATTCTAATTGTCTCATCTTACATCTGAACTAGTATTTTATTAGATTTTACATATTAGAAGAGGCATTTTGGAAGACAAAATGCTTTGCGCTCCTAGAGACTGTGCAGTTTAATTTGTAATCTATCTGATAGTGATCATGGTTGTCGATACAGCACTCTCCTTAACTGCATTAAAATTTTCAAGTCCACGTTATGGATTTTTCAGTACTTCTGTCTTAAAGTATATTCTTCAGCTTATATGTAAAGAAATTGAGGATGTTTTTACAGAATTAAGAAACGAATTGCTGACTGCTTTTGTCTCTACTTTTTTTTTCTTTTGCTTTTCTTTCAGTATTTGTGCATTAAGGACAGACATTATGCATGGTTTTGAGCTTATCTATCTCCTCTTTCCACAAGTAGTCCTGTCTGAGAGCCAAATCAAGCTTTCCTAATTGTCCCTTGCAGGAAAAGTCAACATGACAGCAGATTTCTCTGGATTTTAGATCAACTAGATAAGCAGCATTAAAAAACTATTTGGGAAAGCGCCTTTGAGTCTGTTTTGGTTAATTCCTAATTAAATACTTTAGAAGACAAATAGGTTAACCTTTTAGTATTGTAGAGCATCATAGAAGAAATTTATGTTGGGACCAACCTCTGGACGTTATGTAGTCCAGCCCCTGCTTAAAAGATGGATAACTTCAGAGGTTGTTTAGCGCTTTTTTCTGTGTTACTGAGGCTTTTTCTGGTCTTAAAGGATGCCATTATGTTAGAATCCTGTCTAAGTAAAGAATATCTTAATATGAAAATATTTCTGTTTATCAAATTAAGTATTTTTTTGTGCTCTGTTTGTGCTACTTAAGCCTGATTGCCATCCACAAATGTTACTATAAGTATGCTCTTATCAAACTACTGTGCAATCAGAAGTTCCTTCAGTCAGAGTATTGAATACAGTGTTTTAGGAAGAGGAAAGAGGAATAAATTAAAGCAAACTCTGTATTTGCACAGTGACAAAAGCAGCTCTGAAATATTTCAGAAATTGTGCTTGGGATAAATTAATGGCCTTGTTCACACATTGAGAAACAAATTTGTGTTCTGAACTTCAGATACGACCATATGTAGGATGCTTGGTTCAGTATTTACCGCTCCTTTGGAAACAGAGTGAGGAGCACAATATGCTGCGATGTGCCATTCTAACTACCCTAATCCATCTTGTCCAGGTAAGGGGTCAGAATCACGTAAGTGCAGTCAGTACCTCCCACAGTTCTTTCTCAGACTTCTCTACATGTTCTCTGTGTGTGTATATATATGTAGGTAAAATTAAGGTATAATTTAGTTTTATAGGCTATTTCTAAATTCTTTTCAGCCTTACATGACTCTGCAAGACATGGTTCTCTAATAATGGAAGTAAAGGTGGCTAATACTAAGCACTTAACTTTTTTTTTTTTTTTTTTTTCTTCCTGTGGTTTGTTAAGTAAAAGCAGTTCTTTAAGCAGATTTGCTTGTGTTCTGGAAGGTTTTTGTTCTTTAATCTTGAAACCGAGCCAGCTTTGGTGACATTATAGTCTATGTGAAAAAGCTTGTTCTGGCTTCCTTTGTTTCCCAGCTGACATTAGGATTGTCTGTCTTTTCTTACAGTCATTGCATATAGTCTAGACTTGAATCTGCAGCGTAGGCACATCTGCTTCCCTGTTGCTTTCCATTCAGCTCCCAGGGGCATTGAGTTTTCTATTTTGGTTGTAAACTTCCTGTGAAGATGAGCCGTTTTAAAATCATAGGATAAGATATGGGCCACCACAACAAGTTTCGCTTTGCCAGCTCTTTAAATTTGCATCAAATGTTTCTTGTTTAACTCGTAACTGTTCGGTTTAAAGTCCTTCAAGGGTGGTGTTGGCATTGACTCATTGTGATTCATTTTGTTTATTTATAATTCCAAGCCTTTTATTGTTACCATTTTTACCATTACCTTCCTACTGCATAACCTCTAATAGCTTTTGTGTCCTTTTGCAACTACATCTGCAACTTTTTTATGTAGTATATGAGGAAAAAAATATTTTATCCCTTCTTAAATTCCTGGCTTCTCTGCTGTTCTTTTCTGCTTTGTTCACATGTTATATGAAACAGAGATACTAGCAGCTCTGAGGTGCCTGCTTTGCTAAGTACTGGATTTGTATCACATCCTGTTAGTTATATTTTAGTCTTTGATTTTTTTATATTCTTTTTCTTCTTTCGAGAATTATCTGTGCTCATGATTTCCTTTTCAGCTATACTTGAATATCTGCTTTTTCACGTCCACGTTAAAACCGAATGGTCAGGACTATTAAAATGTCTTTGAGCCAGGGACTGTCACCTCACCTTTGTTTGTGACTGTGGCTTCCAAGTACAATAAGTGACAGTAATACTGCAAATAGAGGTGAACATAGTGCTTCTCAGACCATTGTTTGTCTGTAGACTTCTGTAGATACTTTTTTTGGTGTGTTGTAGGAAACTTTTTTCCTTTCCAAAATATATTGCTTACATTTATCAACATTAGGTTCATTTGCTCACAGCTGTGTGTTTAGTTAAGTTTCTTTAGCTAGTATCTTAAGAGTTCTTGAAATTGGCTTGGGTGGATGTACTCTTCTGATGGGCCGTGGCCAAGTGTATGAGGTTCAACAAGGCTCAGTGCCAGATCCTGCACTTGGGTCACATCAACCCATGCAATGCTACAGGCTTGGGGAAGAGTGGCTGGAAACCTGCCCAGTGGAAAAGGATCTGGGTGTGTTGGTTAACAGCCAGCTGAAAATGATCCAGCTTGTGAACCAGACTGCCAAAAAGGCCAGTGGCATCCTGGCCTGTATCAGCACCAGTGTGGCAGCAGGGCCAAGGAAGTGATCATCCCCCTGTACTGGTCACTGCTGAGGCTGCACCTTGAATCCTGTGTTCAGTTTCCAGCAGGCATTGAGATGCTAGAGCATGTCCACAGAAGAGCAATAAAGGTGGTGAAGGGTCTGGAGTACAAGTCTTGTGAGAAATAGGTGAGGGAGCTGCAGTTGTATAGCCTGGAGAGAAGGAGGCTCAGGGGGACCTTACAGCTTTTTACAGCTACGTGAAAGGAGATTGTAGTAAGGTGGCGATTGGTCTCTTTACCCAAGGAGCAAGTGATAGGATGAGAGGAAACTGTTTCAAGTTGCGCTGGGAAGGTTTAGATTGGATATTAGGAAAGATTTCTTCACCAAAATGTTTGTCAAGCATTGGAACAAGCTACTCAGGGAAGTGTTTGTGTCACCATCCCTAGATAAATTTAAAAGATATGTAGATGTAGACAGGCTGATAGAGTTGGGCTTGTTCAGTCTGGAGAAGAGGAGGCTCTCTGGAGACTTCATAGCAGCCTTCCGGTACCTAAAGGGAGCTTACAAGAAATCTGGAGCAGGACTTTTTACAAGGGCATTTAGTGACAAAACAGGGGGAATAGCTTCAAGCTGAAAGAAGGTAGATTTAGATTGGACAATTAGGAAGAAATTCTTCACAGTGAGGATAGTGATGACTGGAACAGGTTGCCCAGAGAAGCTGTGGCTGCCCCATCCCTGGCAGTGTTCAAGGCCAGGCTGGATGGGGTTTTGAGTAACCTGGTCTAGTGGAAGGTGTCCCTGCTCATGGCAGGGGTTTGGATCTAGATAATTTTTAAGGTCCCTTCCAACCCAAACCATTCTATGAAACACATGACTAAGTGGATAGTATTTCAGAGTTTAACAGTGGAGAAAACATGAAAGGGGAATGACTGGACATTACAACTGTAAGAGTAATTAGCGTTCTTTTGAAAGCTGAGTTAGTTCAAATGAAGAGAAAATACATTTTCACAGTGAACAAATGTAGAACTTTTCTTACTGGCCACTGTGGAATCCAGAAATGCAGTTGGGCACAAAGAGATCAGACAAATTATGGAAGACTCTTTTTTTCTTGTAAGACAAGATTGTTTAAATAAGTAAATCCTTAAATAAACCTTAACTTAAAAACATCAAATAATTTTAAACTTAATACTTTCCCAGTATAGTAACCATACAAAAGTAGCATTCAACTAACTTCAGTTCACTTAAGTAGTCATAACAAAATAAGGGTTATTTTTAATTTATGATTAGTTTTGACAATAGTTATTTTTAAAAATTGGGTTTTCTTATTGAATGATTGCTGAAAAGAATTCTATACTCTTCATTCTTGGGAAAACGTCTTTGTGTACAGCTCTTGGATTGATAAATCACTGTCATCAGTCTGTGAACTGTTTAGTAGCAATGAAAACAAACCCTTCTCCTGGTTCTTAGAATATGTGGAAAGATTTACTATGTTGTATGGTCCAAAGAGTAATTCTTTTCTTGATATTTAAAATATTTTATTTTGCATCTAGTAATTTAGCTGTGACCTTGCTGAAGAGAAAGACCGGGGTATGTTTTTATGGATGTGCATTGTTTATCACTTTTTTTTCCCCATACCATTCATAAGCTGTTTGTTTTCAAAAAACCAGCATAATTTTCTCAAGACATGTTGAGTGTAAGAGCAGGAGTATCAGACTGTTGTTGTATGAAATGGATTTAAGTTGAACCTCTGATTCCTTGAATGAATGTTTACAGTACGTGTATACAACAGCAGCACAGATCTTTTTCAGTGCTATTTTTTTAAATGCTTGAGTTGAGGTTTTTGACATTTTTCTTTACCTTACAGGGACTCGGAGCAGACAGCAAAAATCTCTATCCTTTTCTACTTCCAGTTATTCAGCTCAGTACTGATGTTACTCAGCCTCCACATGTCTATCTTCTGGAAGATGGTTTAGAGTTGTGGTAAGAATGTTCCTTATCAGTTTCTTATTTTTAAAAAGTTATTTTCTATTCTTAGAAGAAAAAAAAATAAAAAAGCTTTGACTGTATTAGGAATTTATGTGGTGGTGTTACCATGACATCATCTATATCATACCTATTCTCAGAAGAGATGCGATTAGGAAGTTAATAAAACAAATAATTAAAAATAACTGAATAGGTTAATCCATTTTCAGGCAGTTGATAGTGAAGATACTGTTCTGTTGTGATAATGAACAGCAAGACGAAAAGTCTAGGCTCACTAATGCTAAACTATCAGTTTGATGTGCTTTACTTTGGGAGCATAATGACCCAGTGATTCTCAGAGCTGGTTGCTGGAAGAGATGGTGAGTTTACAAGGTTAAAATGTAGAAGTTATCTTCCAGATCTCAAGCTATTTGGTGGCTGAACACAAAACAAGTGTTCACTTGAAATACATTTGGAGTAATTGTTACATATTATTTAAGGATCATATACATGATTACTTAAAGTTAGTGTTTTACTTCTGTTAAAATGATTGCTCAGTGTTATTGATAGAAGGTCTAAATGTTTTGCTTAATCTCTTCTTAGGTTAGTGACATTGGAGAATAGTCCATGTCTTACACCTGAGCTCCTGAGAATATTTCAGAACATGTCTGCCCTTCTTGGTATGTCTATTACAAATAAAATTTCTTTGATTTTTTTTTTTTTTCCCCCTACTGCTTGTCTTGTTGTTCATGCTGCTTCATGTTGTTCAGGTTAAGTATTGCTGCTGTGGGTACAAAAACTAAGGGAGCTTGCAAAATTGTAACTATTACTGGTTTTTATTGTTTGACTTTCACACCATCTTTAGCATTTATTATCTATTCAGCCTAGATACTTTTTAATAAATTGAAGCTGCTTTATACCCAAAAGATAAGAAAAACGTAAGTTTATAATTTCAGAGTGGTTTTTTTTTTTTTTTTTTTTGTTCTGTTATTTGGGTTTTTTTTGGGGGGGGGTATTTTGGGTTTTTTTGGTTGGTTGGTTTTTGGTTCTTGGTTTTGTTTCCTCTTTTTTTTTTTTAATTTTTATTTTGGTTTTGTTTCCTTTTTTTTTCTTTTTTTTTCTTTTTCAGAAGTTCCTGAAATTTTAACACCAAATTTGCTGAATTTTGGTGATGTTGATTATATGAAATACTTGCCTGTTCTGCTACAAAGACAGCAAAGCTTCCATTATTAGCTTTTCCCGTTGTTCAGTTAATAACTACCTAAATATGTCTCTAAATGTATTGGTCAAGCAGCAGTAAAATTAGAAGCACTAGTTTTGCCTAAGTTGTTGACAGTATAGAAACTTAGTAAGGAGAATTAAGACTTCGTGCTTAGGAAATACGGTATTTGGGGTGCTTTTGCTTTGCAATTAAAGGGAGCATAAAAAATTTCGTATTTTAATTTTATTATCTAAATATGGTTTTATTTAATTAAATCTTCAGCTGTGCTTTTGTACATTGTGGAGCTAATATAGCAAATTGATTAATTTTTTTAGAGGCATGTGTTCATAAAATTTCAGAAGTTGGCTTTATAATTAATTGTTGTTTTCAGTACTTAATACTTTATTCTGATTATAGGTCATTGTACATCATGGTGGGTAGATGCAAGATGATGCCTTCTGTTATTTCTCTGTGTATACTAGATTTCTAATGACAAAACTGCTCTGGAAAGTAGTGTTCTGTACTGGTTTTATTATTTAATTCCAGAGGTAGGTTCTGTAGCTGCCAAATACTATTTGTCTTCATTCATATCTACACACATACCCTTCTTCCTTCTTGTTCTGTGTTAGTAGATAGTATCTGCTGCAGGAAGCTTTGCACCATAGGAATGGTTGTCATTTTCATAGTGCTGTCACACTGCCAGTCTGCTTGAGTTAAGTTTCAAAGTTCTCTGTATTTGTGACTTGTTTACATTTCCTACTGCTATTTTCTCCCTACTCAGTCCTCCCTAGTCTTTATGTGATACTTTCCAGGGTAGAGATGACTGTGAATGAAAATCTTCAGCATATTCTTCTAACAAAAGGTGGAGATATTCAGGATTATTCTACACTCGTGACAATTTCCTTGTTTTATAAATGAATCTTGGAGAATAGTGGTGCTCTCCTTTTGGTGTGGGGGGAGGGAGGGAGGGAAATGTCAAGAGAATGTTCCTTGTCCTGAAAAATGAAAACTGATGTATGATGTTGCTAGAGCAAGTAGTACAGTTCTATAATATTTATCTTACCTGTTTTCTCCTTCTGACTTGAACTAACTTCTTGCAATTTTGCTACTCATACTTTTACCTTTGTATTGGTTATTACAGAATCACAGAATGGAAAGCAGTTTATGTTTATATGACCATGTCTTTACGATTTGTCTACTGATTCAATGTCTGAAACTTAAAACCAAACAAACCCAAATACCTCTTTGGAGAACGCAGTAACTTCAAGAAACATATAATATTAGTAATATGCTTTTAAAGCTAATTTAGAGAAGCATTGGAATCTTTTGATGAGGATTTTGGATGGGTAGGTGAAAAATAATCTCTTTTTGAGTCAAGATATGTAAATATTCAAAATAACTGATAACAAGACATGTCCTGTCCAAGCACTGAGGTGTGAAAAGTACTCAATGCTTTCAAAGCTGTCCGATGGTTGGATAGCAGGAGCATTAGTTTTCTTTCTAATGAGAGGGGAAAGAAGAGAAACTGCTAAAACTTACCAGAACTTTTCAGATACTGTAATGGAAAACCAGCCATAGTTTCTGTCATGTAATACTTTATGTGGAAGTTTTTCTATATAAGTGTCACTACGTGTAAGCCAAACTTCCATACAGGCTGTGTTAATGTAAGCTATGGATGATATACCACTTCTTAGCCAGCTGCTGGTGTTAGTTTAATCTGGTAAGGAATTTTATTTAAAACTTACGTAAAAGTATTTTCCTCCTAGCTCTCCATGGTGATTTTACTGGAATATTGATTAAAGCTGGGGGAGAAGTCTGCTTACTTTACTAAGAATAGTCTGCCTCCCAAACTGGCTTTAAGAAAATTTAGCAAGCCCTTTTGAGGTTTTTTTTTGATCTTCTCTTTTGTTCTCATCAGTAAGGGCTGTTGGCTTTCTGCACTAGTATCAACCACCATGTGAAAATTTGAAACCTTTTGTTTAGCAATGAATTGTGTTTATAGATGTTCTGGGTGATTTTTTTTTTTTAACAGTCTTACAGGTACTGCCTGAGGATATGTCTTTTTTTCTCTTTGAACTGCTGTTGTACACCATCTCCTGTCTCTTAAATGGTTATGCTTTCCTTACTGAAATACTCAAGGTATGGCCTAAAGTTCAGCGTGTTTGTCCAAAAGCTCAGTGCTGTTTGATATGCCACCTGAGTCAGAAGAGCAGAACTGCAATCTTTATTTCACTCTTTCTACTCAGTATTTACTGATTGAAATGTGAGAGAGATCATTTGTCAGTAATTGCAGCTCTCTTTAAGTATGTGTTTCATTTGTTTTGTCTTTAATATCTTCTTAGCCCACTGTCATATCCAAAACTTTTTTCTTTTTTTTTCTTTTTTTTTTTTTTAGCATTGATCATAGGATTTCTTGTACTTCGATTTGAGAACATGAGAGCTGTTACCATCCTTCTTTTGTAATTGTGGCTGGCAGGGAGACAGAACCTGAATAGTACTGAATCTAAGATAACTTTTTTCTGTTTGTAGGCATCTGGCACTTAAAAGCTGTGTGAGGACAAAGACTTCAAGAAGTGAATTGTTTTAGTTGTACTTCAGTGTGGTGATGAGCTTCTGAACTGTGATTTCTTTTTTTCCAGAGCTGAGTTCAGAAAACCTCAAAAATTGCTTTAAGATCATCAATGCTTATATTTTCTTATCATCATCAGAATTTTTACAGGTATGTTACCATTATATAAAGATTCATATTAGCATCTTAGTTCTGTACTGGCAAACTGTTTTTTCTCTCATGTTGGAAAACATAATGCGCAGAAACACTGATACTCTTGTGTGTATGTAAGCATATTGTTCTAATGTTAGATCCTTATGGCAAACGGTGGACACTCAAATCAATTTGAGAAAGATTATTATTTTGAATTAATGTTTTGCCAATTGATTTAGTACTTTGGTACCTGAAAAGGTTCTATGCGGAGCAGTAGTAGTTACTCCTGTCAAATTAAAATGATCATCATGAATTCTAGCAGGAACAGAACTAGAGATGATATGCCTTTTTCTCACACCTTCTTCATTAGAAATTTCATTGAGATTGATAATTTAAAAAAACCCTGCAATGTTAAAACCCAACAAAATGCTGATATTAAATTTTAATTAGTTCAGGAAAGAAAGAGCATTTTAGTAAATATGATCTTTGAAGAAAAGCTGAGTCTTTGGATATATGTAATCCCTGATATGTTGAGTTTTGAAAAATATATATAGATATAAAATATGTTTGCGTAATACCTTCTTTTTCATTTAATTTCAGATGTATGCAGCAGGCTTATGCCAGTCATTTTGTAGCCTTTTGAAGGACATAACTACTGAAGGTCAAGTTCAAGTTTTAAAGGTAGAGTGTAGTTAAAAATAATGCCGGACACTCAGCTCTATTAACTTGCTACTGCTTTTTTTTATTTGTTTGTTTGTTTAGGTTAGAGTAATATTTTAAAGTACTGTGAATGCAGAACATGTAGAAGAAACCAACTTATTTAGCATACACTGACACTTAGAATTGGTGGTTTTTTAAACTACGTATTTAAAGTGTGTATATAGACTGCTTATACACACATACACACTTTTTAAGAATGTTACTTTACCCAAGAGAAGGTTAATATAGCCTTAAACAGAGCACCCTGAAAGATAATTACCTAACACACTGTTCCTATACCCTCTGCAATGCTTTCATTACTTGTGATTCCAGTGTTGTGCTTAAGTAATCAGTTCTAAGATAGTTTGAGTCCTTTTTGTATAGATGGTTTTAGACTAGGAGTCGCTGATGTCTTTTCCACTTGTATATTTTCTAGATTACTAGAGAAAGGTGGTTAGTGAGGGCTTAGATCTTTATGAAATTAGCTTGTTCTACAGCCAGACAACAGCACACTTAAACAGCCAGATAACTGATCCCTGCATTGTGAAGATAATGCTGTGTACAGAAAATCTCGAAAGCATTGAGTTGCAAAATAAGGACTGTGTTTGGGTCAAAGTAACTTAATTCAATCTTTGGCTGTTAGTGAACTCATGTAAGTTGTAGAAAGCTGATCAAAGTTTTCCATTTCTAATTGAATTTTAGAATGGAGAAGAGTACCACAGTATAACACAAATACACTTACACCTCTAATTACAAAATAAAAGGGCAAAATCAATCTGATTAATGAGTTTCAAGGGTTGTCAAAATTCAGTTTTCATCTTGGTTCAAAATTCAGAAAAAATTTAATTATTTGGACAAAAATGCAACATTAAGAAATTATACAACCCTAAAGTCAATATCATACTTATGTGTTAATATTCTAGGTTCATTTTCAGTGTTCCTAATAAAAATGTACAAAGGTAATTATCTGTTTGCTGTATCTAGTGATCCGAATCTGAGTTTTGTCTGTAACCCATCAACCAGTATTGATCCCTTTGCTAATACAAACAATAATACTGTATCTGATATTTTTTTTAACATTAGTTTTCCTTATCAGTGTTCAATACCAATAAGAAAAAACAATAATAGTTACATTTTTGTAACTGCACAGCTGAAAAACTGGCAAGATAAGTACGAAGTCTGGTGATTCTCCCTCTCTGTTCTGCTCTCATGAGACCCCACCTGCAGTACTGCGTTCTGCTCTGGGGCCCCCAACACAGGAGGGATGTGGACCTGCTTGAGCAAGTTCAGGGGAAGCTGCTAAGATGCTCAGGGTGCTGGAGCACCTCTGCTGTGAAGACAGGCTGAGAGTGGGCTTGTTCAGCCTGGAGAAGAGAAGGCTTTGGGGACACCTTATAGCAGCATTTCAGTACCTAAATGTGGACTAAGAGAAATCTAGAGAGGGACTCTTCACAAGGGAGTGTAGTGAATAGGACAAGGAGAATGGCTTCAAGTTGAAAGAGGGTAGATTTAGATTGGACATTAGGAAGAAATTCTGCACTCTGACATTGGTGAGACACTGGCACAGGTTGCCCAGAGAAGTTGTGGCTGCCCCATCCCTGGCAGTGTCCATGGCCAGGCTGGGTGAGGCTTTGAGCAACCTGGTCTAGTGGAAGGTGTCCCTGGTTATGGCAGGGGAGTTGGAACTAAATGAGCTTCAAGGTCTGTTCCAACCCAAACCATTCTATGACTTTGTGTGTTACTAAAAACTCTTAGGTGATTTTATGATTAAATAAGTACCTAATGATCAAGATTCATATTTTTTCTTGCATTTCTGTATGACCACTAGAACCTAATAGGCCTAGAGCCAAGTTTTTCCAGTCTGTATTGAATGTTGGGTATATGCGCTCTCTATCACATTCCTTTGTGTAGTGTTCGTGCATTTGGACTGTGATATTTTGTTCAGTCTGTGCTTTTGGTGTAAGTTGCTATTGTAATGGCAACAACTACTTATATAGAGCTGATAGGTTTTTCAGAGTACTAAAAAAAATTTTCACACAAAACTTCAAATCGTATTATGAAGGATGTTATTCGCCCAGCCTGTTCTCCACTCCATCTGGTTACAAGGAGAAAACCCAAACAGCTGCACAAAAGAAAGCTGAAGAACACAGGGAAAAAAATTACTTCAGGGAGCAGCTCATGTTGGGGCAGGGGGGGGAAAGCTGAGAAGTGAAGGGTAAAGCATGTAAAAAAAACTGGAAATCAGAGCAGGGTACTGAGAATATCACATCTCAGAGCACTTGTTACTCTTTGATCACCTGCAAAGAGATGATAGATCCTAATCAATGTGTAACCGTTAAAGTCAGTCAGAGAAGCTCTCTAAGACTCAGTTTGGAGTTTCAGAAAGCAGCATTCTTTATTGCAGAGCTGGGTGCACATGCGAATCGTTTTGCAAAGGTGAGCGCACCCGTTACTTGCCGGCTGCAGCTGTAGATTTGGCACACTCATGCATATTTACAGTGCACATGTTCCAGTCCACCCTGGGGAAAGGGCCTTTCTAGCAGTATTATTACATAATCAGTACCACTGTTTCCCTTCTGGAGCATTCCAATAGCCAGTCCCTTAATCTGGAGCTGCATTGTCCAGCTACAGTTTGGGTAATCTCCTACCAAGATATTATCAGAGCTAAAAGTTTTACCTGGTGCCAGCAGGTATTGTCTAAAATCCTGTTTTCCCTGCAAAGACATACCACCACGAACAAAAGGCAGTTGGTAAGGCTGTCCATATATCAGTTCATATGGACTCACATGATTCCTTCCTCACATGATTCCTGGCTGTATTTGTATCCTTAACAAAGCAATTGATAGGGCTTATAACCAAGTTAAAGAAGTTTCTTGACATATTTTAATTATAACTTGAGTGTCTGATTCATGCATTCCACTTTCCCACTAGCCTGAGGTCTATATAGGGTATGCAAATAGCACTTGGTTCCCAAACACTCTCCCACCTTCATAACTACTTCTGCAACAAAGTGCAGACCTCTATCAGAGGACAAGCCTGCTGGTACCCCGTATCGGGATATTATTTGATTCAGTTTACTACTTCATGAGCCATACTGGTGTGACAAGGGAAAGCCTCGAGCTAACCAGAAAATGTGTTTATTAGTACCAATATATATTTATACCTGAGCTTGTTATGCTGTGGCAGTTCTGTAAAGTCCACTTGCCAATAGTCTTCTGGACAATTGCCTTTGTTGTTCCAGGTAAGGGGGTCTCTTAGCATGGTAAACAAGGTTCACACTTCTTCCTAACACTTTTATAATTCCAGCCATTTACATACTCAGAACTTGGAGCTTGAAAGCCTCAGTCACTGATTCTGTTCCCCCATGAGTTGCCTGGTGGCTTTCTTCTGTAAGAGGTTGGGCAATTGCTACTTGTTTGGTGTAACCCACCATTCTTCATCATTCTTCTTGGCTAATTTCTCATTCTCTGTTTGATAACTTGAAACTTCATTATCCAAGCACTGATACTTACGAGGTAATATTAATAAAAGGTCCCCACCCACAGCTGCTTCGGCTGCTTTGTCAGCAGTGTGATTACCAGTATTCACTGGAGTGTTATCAGATTGATATACCTTAAAAGCAAATTTTGACTTTCTGATAGTTCCAGAACTCTCAGTAGCACCATCAGCTAGCTTGGATTTCTATGCTTATGTGTTGGGGTGAATGCAGGGCTTCAGCCTCTAATCTTATGTTTGGTTACCATAGCGTATCCTGCTTTGCTGTTTCCATTTTCATAGAGCTGCTACCATCCACAAACAGTTCATAGTCCACATCCTTCAGGGATGTATCTTGCAGGTCAGTATGACTAGAATATACCTGCTCAATAGTCTGTAAACAGTTGTGAGTCAGCTTTCCTGCTTCTGGATTGGTTGTCAAAACGGCTTCTGGGTTCAAAAGGTTAGTTACTTTCAATTCTATGTCCTCTTGTTCTAAAAGCACAGCCTGGTATTTTAACAGCCTGCTTGGGGAAAGCCAGTGACTGCTTTTCTGTTCCAGGATGGTTGTTACCAATTGAAGTACAAATACAGTCCATTTTTGTCCCAAAGTATTCGATGAAATTTTCTATTAGAGGCTCTAGTCCCTATCTTGCTTCCAGTTTTATTAGGATAGTGTTTCTGTCTGACCAGTCCAGTGTTTGGTTTCAGATTAATAGTTACCGGTTCTGCATTTCGTGATCATCCCAGTGCTACAGCAGAGCAGCCCATACTAGTGAGGTGTATTCTCCACTTTCTCTGGTATATCTGGCTCAGAGGCTGATTTCTGTAACATAAAAACTCGAGCCTCCACAGCCCACATCAGGAAGATGTATCTGAATTTTCTTTCTTTAAATCTTAATTTATGCATATAATTTACTCAGTATATCTCTATCCAATAACAGCATAGGGCATTCGGGCATGTAAATAAATTGATGGGTCAACATCTGTTTGCCAGTCTTAAAATTTAAAGATTGAAAGAAAGGCCAGGTTCCTGTCCACCCTGTGACACCAATGCCTGAAGCTGTTTCTTTGTTTAATTGCCCTTTACAGGTATTTATAACAGAATAAGTAGTTTCTGTTTCTCCAGAAAAAATCTTATCTTATCATTCCTCAACCTAACGGTAAGCAGGGGATCTGTTGGGGGAGGGTTTCGAATCTTCCCCCAGTCCTCCTCAGCCCTCATCTAAAGCAATAATTTTCTCTGCCTGTCTGGACATTACAGTAAATCTCTGGTGTTTATTTGGATTCTGAGAGCATTCTCTCTTCCAGTGCAACCCATGGAGTCTGTTCATAAACCTTTTCCTGTAATCCTTCTTTCCTCTCCTCCCGGCCCACTTCCCCTTTTCCTGGTTTCTTGTGTGGTAGCTAAAGCCAACAGCTCTGGCTGGTTTCCTTTTTTATTCTTCCCCAATCGCCCCAAACATTCCAGTTTTACTCTGGTGCTTATCTTATGCCCCCCACATATG